AGCCCACTAGGAACGCCAACACCTGCACCGTGGTTATCTCCGACCGGCAGCAGGAAAGCGGGGCTTAAGGTCATTCTGCATTCACTGCTCTACCCACCGATTCCTGGCCCTTGGGGCCCCAGAACCCGAGCCGGGCTCAGCCGGCGCGCGGCGGCATCCGACGAACCACGGACCCAAGCAGCGCGGAGCTCCTGAACAGCTGGGGCGGAGGAACACCAAACCAGCGGCCTGCCAGGCCCCGACGCGGCAAGCGGCTCCACTCTCCCTAGCGGCTCCGCTCTCCCGAACCCTGCGCTTGCCCGCTCTGGGTCCGGCCGGCCCCGGGACCTCGAGCCCGCGTCCCCACGTGCCCCACGCCGGCCTGCTGGGTGGCCGAGAAAAGAAGCCCTACCCTGCGCCCGCCCTCGGAGGGACGACCCGCTTCCCTCACCTTCCGGAGCGACCGCCAGCGCGGGAGCCCGCAACGGAGCCCGAAGGCGGCGGCCCCAAATCAGCAGCGTCCGCAGCTCCCTTGCCATGTTGTCCTCGAGCGCCTCACGGGGAGGAGCGCGGGGGCGGGCCTTCCTTGGGCGCGGCGCGCTGACGTCACCGCGCGCGCAGGGATGCCCGGGGCGCTGCCTGCGCGGGCACGGGGGCGGGGTCGGCTCAGCGCCCGACCGGCGGGCTTGCGGGCGGGACTTCCTTGACCTTGGGTCGCGTAGTCAAGGGCTAGGGCCCCATACGTTGATCCCCGGGAGGTGGTCGTAGTTGGGCCCGCGCCGGCTGCGAGCTCTTCGGCGTGCGTCTGTTGAAGTGCGACGAGGTCGGCGCCCGTGCAGGGCCGAGGATGGAAAGAAGCCGGTAGCATTTCTGCAGCACCCGACTAAGCCGCTGGAAGTCTCTCCTGAACCCAGCCGACCTAAAGCTAAGAAGAACCAATAGCGGGGTCTACAGCAAAACGTGAATTCCACCACTGGCACAACGGGATGATTCGTATACTCCAGCTCTCTCCCTCCCTCTTAGAAGTTAGGAGTCTGGGTAGAGACCATGAACCTGGTCTCTAAGGTTTGGTCCTAACCCTGCACCACTTCATATGTAGATTGCCTTGCACCACCTGTACCCAGGAATGGAGCCCTGGTAGCTCTTTTTACATAGATTCCCACATGATCCTGAGGCACGTTGGAGGTGTGCTGCTGTGACCAAATAACTGCACAAAAACATTTACTTGAGGGCTGGAGGGGTTGCTCAGTGGTAGGGTGCTTGCCTAGCACGTGTGAGGTCCTGGGCTTATTCCCGCCCCTGCCCTCTACAACCGGACCCCACCTGCACAAAAACAAAGCAGAATAGAGGGCTGGGGTTGTGGCTCAGCGGAAGAGTGCTTGCCTAGTATGTGTGAGGCACTGGGTTCGAACCTCAGCACCATATAAAAATAAAATAAGGCTAGTGTGTCCGCCTATAACTAAAAATGTTTAAAAAAAAATAACCAACCAACCCATAGTTCCTTGAGATTGGTAACAGGAGCTGCTAGAAGTGAAGGTCCCAGATCTTGGTCAGAGTTGGAGTGTTGGGAGACTGTGTTTGGGAATGTGTCAAGATGGAAAGCATAGGGGATGACTCTCCACTGTACTGGTCTAAGCAACTGAGAAGGGGAGTATCCAACGAACCTGGTGGACACTGGTGCATAGAAGGCAGGAGCCCTCTCACCTGGACACTCTTGCCAGCACCCCCATCCTCTGAAGCCAAGTCCTATTCTTTTTACTCACTCCTCAATGGTCTCCCCCAAACTTTTTTGAGTGGAGGTACCTGGAATTGAACTGAGGGGCACTATATCACTGAGCTACATCCCCAGCCCTATTTTGTAGTATTTTATTTAGAGACAGAGTCTCACTGAGTTGCTTAGCACCTTGCTGTTGTTGAGGTTGGCTTTGAACTCACAATCTTCCTGCCTCAGCCTCCTGAGTGGCTGGGATTACAGGCCTGTGCCACCGTGCCTGGCTTTTTTTATTTTTTATTTTTAAATTTTTTTTATTTTAAGAAGGGATCTTTCTGGCCTTGAACTTAAGATATGGCCTTAGCCTCCTGTGTCACTGGGATTACAAGATGTGCCAACTACTACTGTACCTTCCCTCAAACTTAAAAATCAATTTCGAATTCTTGTCTCAGCCCACAGGCCTGTATCACTTGCCCCTGCCCCTGCCTGGTTCCCTCCCCATCACCACTCTCCAGAGTGGTCTCCAGGATGTTCTCATACAGCTACTCCCAGGGAAACTGAGAGATGTTTGCCTATTTTATTCCTTTTTCACACCACTTAGGAAATCATCTCTTGTGTAAAACCAAACACATTCATCTACAGGCACTTCTGGCTTGGAAATCCTTTCACTTCAGCAAGGGGAAGTGGTGTTTGGCAAGGGGAGGAAAAACCTGGGCTCCATTTAGGATGGGACATGAAACAGCAGGACCCAGGCTTTTTGGAGGATAAACCTACCAGGTTCAGGACAAAACATCTAGGGCCCTCTGTCCACTCCCAGCTGGTTTCCTTGCTCAGGAAACCAATGCTTGGAACTCATGTTATCTATTGAGGGTCAGAAGTAACTTCCCACAAAGGTCTGAGGTTCCTCTATGCTCCAGTCCTGGCTGCCTTCCAGTGCTTTCTGGTGACATCAATTCTAGCTGCCTAAGAAACACCTGTCAGCTTCAAATGTTTCTTTGACCTATGATCTTTTCTTTTCCTTGATCTATCTCCCAGCTTTGGGAGCATGTCTGGTTCCCAAGACTCTTAGCAGCATTTACCTACTCTCCCTCCATTCCTTCCTCAGGAAGCACAGGAAATAACCTTCCTCTTCTCAGGGGCCCACTCCTGTGTCAAGGTCTGAGGCATCCTTGGTGGGGTCAGAGGCTACAAGGAAGGAGTCCCAGCAGCAGGAAGCCTGGCTGACTGGAGAAACAGAGAAAGCACTGATGGCAGAATACACCTTCAGTCACCCTTCCCAGATTCGGTGGGCTTCCAAAGACCTTCAGATGTGGATTCTCATCCTGGCTTGGCGAATTCCCCAACTATCTTCTTCAAGCCTTCTTTCATCTGAATTTCATGGACATACCTGGATTTTAAAAATCATTTTTAAGCCGGGCATGGTTGTGTCTGTAATCCCAGTGGCTTGGGAAGCTGAGACAGGAGGACAATGAGTTTCAAGCTAGCCTTAGCCATGGTGAGGTGCTGAGCAACTCAGTGAGACCCTGTCTCTAAATAAAATACATAATAGGGTGGGGATGTGGTTCAGTTGTCAAGTGCCTGAGTTCAATCCCCAGCACAAAAAAAAGAAAAAGAAAAACCCAAAACCAAAAAAAAATAAACTCCAAAATTAGTTTTTAAGAGGCTTCTTTGTGAGCCCAGGGACATGGGATGCAATACAAAACTCATTTCAGTTTCAATCCTCTCACAGGCATTGGGCAGAGGATGGGCCAGAGTCACCTACACCATAATCTTGTTGCTGTGAACACTAGATTGACCACTAGGATGTAAACATTTTCCTGATTCCAAAGTTAACCAGCAACTGTTACCACTTACTGTCCACTTAATGTCTGAGGGGGTTACTATAAAGTTGTTCTCCTAGTTCCTCAAACACCCCCATGGTGGGTTCAGGGTAAACCTGGGTAAGGATGGCAGTAGGAGCTCCAAAGGCTAGAAGGGCTCCTCTTCAAGCACAGGGCAGGAGCAGAGTTCAGGGCCCAGGTGCCTCTGCTCTGCTCTGCTCTGAATGCTCTATGGACTGGGCTAAATCACTTACCCCACTTACCTTTTTCTACCTTACAGGCCAAAGGAGTGAATCCATTTAAACAATTTGCATATATTATAATGCTTTTTCTATGTCTTCACTTTGTTGTCTATATCAGGAAGGCAGAATTTGGCAAGCTCACTTGAGGTCAAGGCTAAGGCCCAGGGCTCCTTGCTGGGATTGTTCCTCAGTGCCCCCAAACCTCACAGAGGCCTCGTGCCAACACTTCTAAGCCTTCTCCAGGTTCTTCCTGATCCCTTAAAAACCTACCACACCAGGTCCTCCCCATGCTAGGCAAGCACTCTACTAAGTTGCACCCCCAGCCCCCTGACATTTTCTAAATCAAAGTGTTCAGTAGCCATCAGCTCCCTATGAAACTTTGTTTAGTGAAATCAGTCAATAAGATTCCTACTAACTCCTAAGAAGATTGAAGCAAGCTGAAAGCATTGTTTATGGACAATTTAGGTAAACTGCAAAGCATCCCCATCACTCTTCAAGGTTCTTTGGAGTATACTTTGGGTGTAACCTTCACTCAAGTTATCTTTCATTCAACTAATTTGTTTCCCCATCCTTGACTTCTTATTATTCATAATGGAATCATACATGATTAAAAATGTGTAATTAACAGTAACTTCTGTTAGGAGGCCACTACATCTTTTCAGGCCCAGGTGAACAGACTTTATTCTCATTCCTACATGCCCCCACGTATGAGTCTGCTACAGTATTGAAACTGTACCTCCACTTCCCAACCCATTATTCTGTGTCAAAACATTTCCTGGTTACACAGTGGATACCAAATGTACAATCACTGCCCTAATGAGGTGTTTGTTCTAAACAGCAGCTTATTTTGCAGTGCAGTGCTAAAACTACATTGTTGTTCAAATGAAACCTTTGGTTTAATTGTATAGCAATCAGAAGACACAGAAGCCAGGCACCATGGCACATGCAGGTAATCCTCGATGTGGGAGACTGAGGCAGGATAACTGAGAGTTGGAGGCTAGCCTGGGCGTCTTAGTGAGACCCTGTCTCAAGTTAAACCTACCAGAGAGCTCAGGAGAGCTCTGGAGAAGCAGCAGCTTTGGTAAAGCATGCCTTCCGAGGCATCTCATTCGATTCCAGCTCTTTAAGGGTAGAAGTTCAAAGAGAGCATCAAACACATATTTAGTCCAATTACAACTGAGTATCTCCAGTCTTTCAGGGACGAGCTGCTGAGCTAACACTAAGGATCATTAGCCAATCCGAACCATGTTTGAATCCAAGCAGTTTTACCAGCTTTTATTATAAACACCAGCACATTTTAAGTTCCCTCTTTTTGATCACAAATATAGGACTTTTTTCTTCTCTTCTTAAGTATACAGCATGAGACACAGCATCTGGGCTCTCCAGTTCTTACAGAAATTTCCTTAGGATTAGTATCCACAGCCCCACACCCTTGACATTGATTGCTCAGAACAGTTGCATAGGATGCAGACTCCAAAGAGGATGAGGTTGGTACATAAGTTTTAAATTCCAGGATAACCTGAAAAAGATAACCCCATTGCCCATTAAAAGGCTGCATGTCAGAGAGCACCACCTTCTGAGCAGGGGCTGGGAGTGGCTCCTCCAGGTCTCCAGATCCGCTTTTTGTTTGTACACAGGGCTCAGGGCTTCCCTCTCTGGTGGAAAAGGAAATCTGAAGAGGACTTTGAATGTGCAAGGACCTAAGTAAGTTGAGCAAGATGGCAGATCTCCACAGGAGGGCATGCCATCACCATGGTGGGGGGGTTGGTCAGGGGTGTTGGATGGGCGATTTTATCCTTACCTGATTAATTCACATCATTAAAACTTAAGATTGAAACCTGTATGCTATATCTACATTGCACTCTTCCAATTTCTTTGAAATCTTCAAATTGAGATTCCCAAGCCAAAAGTCAAGTATTTTGAAAATACTTCTGTGAACATAAGGGCCACAAAAGGGAACCTATCAGGGCCACAATTTCTAAATCCAACACCACAAACCCTGCTCTTCTCATCTAGACCACTCTTTGATGGATTCCTGGGGGAGAGGGCAGCAGACTAGGTGGTTAATTTTGGCTCCCCTGGGGTTGGTCCTCCTCTTGGATGTCATCCGAGAGCTCATGTCATCTGCTCAGTAAGGGCACAACTGGACCTCGGGGAGGGTGGGACTTGGGTGGCACCTGGCCTGTGTAAAGAAGGCTCTGCTGAGGCCAGATGAGACAGGCTGAAGGACGTATCTGCCCTATGAAATCAAGATTTTAGAGGGGGGCAGGGAATGGGGTCAGGAACCACCCTGAGTCCCTTGAGCACCCTTTTCATCAATTCTGGGATTTGCAGATAGAAACAGGTGGCTACCTGAAGGGCAGGAAGTCCTCCCCACCACCAGGGTGACTGGCTCCAACAGAAGGCAGGACAGGGGAAGTGGGCTGGAAGCAAAGTGCTATTTCAGACCCATTGGTGGACCTCAAGCACGAGTGAAATTCACCTGTGAGCATCAAAAGTTGAGGCTGAGGCCAGGCTGTTTTCTCAGTCTCTGGGAAGGAAGCCCAAGGAGGCTGTTGGCCTGGGATGTTTCCCAGCTACCCCCCCGCATTGCCACCATGAGCGCAGCCCCAGCCTCTCCACTCCGAGCGAACAATCAGAACCATGTCTTACAAAGAACAGACTCCAAAAATATATATAAATAAATAAAAACCTTAAACATTCTTACAGGGATCTTAAAGAACAGAATACATGTTAAAAACTTCAGTAATTTATATCAATTTTAAGCGATACTTTATATACAATGGGGGGAAAAACACATGCATAGTCCAAATACAATGTTGAAAACAGCATTTTCATAACAAAAACCCCAACACCAAGTGTTAATACCATGTACATGAATTCAAGAAGGACCACCCTTTTTGTCTGTTGCACACAGTTTATTTAACAATATGATATAAGAAATGAGTTGGTACTTTACCATTCTATACAGTGATTGAATCTTCTTGAATTTTCTTATTTATAGTAATTATAGCGCTTGCATGATTTACACTAGAATTGCTTTTCCTCATTTCAAGTTTCACATAGAAGAAAGAAAAGAATGCTTCTTCTCTATTAACATTAGCATGGTCTAAGAGAGTGATCATCCCTATTTTTGTCTAAAACCAGTTTTATCAGAGAAACAAAGCAACAATTTCTACATCTGCAAGACAAGAGTTTGGCTTAGGCCAGCATGTATAGATAGATGTGTGTGGGTGTGTACGTGTGTGCACGCCGAGTCAACTCCTATCGTCCAGGGGTAATACTTGGAGACGCCCACAGAGTTCACTATAGAAAAAAAATCTTCCCGCAACATCAGTTATCGGGATACATTATAAGATGCATTATTTCAGGAACCAGTTTCTGAATATTATTTTTCTTCTCACTTTTAAACATAAATGTTTAAAGTCTTGAAAATACAAATAAAAAATATGAATATAATGAACTTGCTTTTCCCATTAAAAAAAGGCATGAGTCACCAGCAATGACGACAAAAAGAATCCAAACAAGCCCCCCTCCCCCCCAAATAAAAAGAAAACAAAAAAAAAAGAAAAACAAAACAAAACAAAAAAAACAAACCAAAAACAGAGAGAGAAAGCGAGAGCGAGAGAGACAGACCAGATATTTAAATCAACTGGTTTTTAACAAAAAAATATATTCTTTGTATTGTTTCTTTAAACATCAATCCACCCTTCCATGGCCTGGAAGTTGCAGTTCCATCTAGGAATAAAAAGAGCCCAGATGCCTGGATTTTCAGTACAAAAGGTCCAAGAACATGAAAGGGACAAAAAGTGATGCTCTCATAATGCTACAAACCCTCCACAAACTTTTCTAGCGTGTCTCCCGTGGTGTCACCAACCAGGGAAAGTTCGCTGGATAGTGCGCTCCTGTTGGGGGTGTTCAACTGGGGGAGCATTGCACTCTGTTCGGGGTTCCCCAGGTGTCCCTGATCCATGGAGCTGGCCATGGTGACTGCGAGTCCAGGGTGGGGGGAACCAGTCTGGGGTGAGACATGGTGTGGTGAAGGCTGGGGCTGTATCCGTGGTGACGGGCTGGAATGTGGAGGCTGGGACTGGGGTCGCGGAGACTGGACAGGGGCTGGAGACCGCACCTGGTTACTAAGGGATGTGGCGATCTGTTGGCCAGGGAGGTGCGAGGCCTGAGGCTGTCCTGAGAGCATGTGCTGCTGGGGGCTCATGGGGTTCGGTTGGCCTGGGGACCCAATCTGCTGCTTCATCTGTTGCTGCTGTAGAATCCGCTGCTGCAGGGCCTGCTGGATATTTGGGGTGCTGTCTGCCCCCAGCCCAGGTTGCCCCATCTGGCTGAGCTGTCCCATCTGAGCGGCCATCTGGCCCATGGAGCTACCCTGGATGGGGAGATGTTGCTGCATGCGCTGCTGCTGCATGGCTGGAGCGTAGCCTCCGGGTCCTTGTGGCTGCTGGAATTGGCCATGCCCAGTCATGCCCCCAGCCATGGTGGCATTGCCTTGCTGCTGCTGCTGCTGCTGCTGCTGCTGCTGCTGTTGCTGCTGTTGTTGCTGCTGCTGCTGTTGCTGCTGTTGTTGGAGCAACTGCCGCCTCAGCATCTCTCGGTACTGTGGATTCATACTTGCCATGTTGGGGTTGTGTCCTGGGTTCATGATATTCAGAGCCTGGCCCTGGGGGTTCAGGCCTCCCATTGCCTGCTGCTGTGGAGGCACACCAGGCCGTGGCACACCAGCTTGCATTGCGTTCAGGTTCTGCATGCCAGGCTGCTGGTGCATGCTGGGCTGGGGCTGCATGCCAGGCTGGGGCTGCATGCCAGGCTGATTGGCCACATACTTGGCTGTGCGCTGTTTGATGAAAGCTGCCATTAGCTGGGGGTTCGACTTGAGGATGTTCAGCACCTGTTGCTGCTGCTGAGGGGAGCTGGGAGACTTCAGGGTCCGCAGTAGGTCTTGCAAGGCGCTGGGAGAGATGCTCCTGGGTGGCTGCACACTGGGCATTCGAGGCCCAGCTACAGCTGCCTGAGCCTGCATGGACATCACAGGCCTGGGCATGCCTGGCATTGGCTGCTGCTGGGGGATGGGTGCCTGTTGCCACTGCCCAGGTGGCATGCTAGGCATGACAGGCCCACTGACCTGGTTGGGTCGGGGCACATTCAAGCCTACAGGGGCCATTTGGCTCCCTGGGGTTCCCATGCTTGTGCGCCCTGGGGGCATGCCATTGTTGATGTTCACTCGGTATAGGTGCTGCTGCTGTTGGGCCTCACGTTCAATCTGCCGGGCTGCTTCCACTGCTGCAGGTGGGGGCTGGGCTGGGGGTGGGGGGGCCTGTACTTGGTTGGTGGGCTTCCCAGCAGATACCGTTGTAGGGGGCTGAGTCCGGGCCACATTGGGGAAGCCAGCTGGTGACATGCTCACAGGTGAGGGCTGGGGCTGGGCAGGGGGCTGTGGTGTCTGGGGTGTGCTGGGCTGCTGTGTGGGGGTCCCAGGTGGTGCTGAGGTAGGAGAAGGCAAACTCTGCTGAGGCACATTGCGGGTGTTCATGGTGGCCATCCTCCGGCGCATGAGCTGGGCCTGCTGCAGGCGGTGCTGGATCTGCTGCTGGCGGAGCTTGTGTTTAATGTTGAGGCAGAAGGGCACGGGGCATTTGTTCTCTTGGCAGTGTTTGGCATGGTAGCAGCAAAGAGCAATGAGCTGCTTGCACACTGGGCAGCCTCCATTGGTCTTGCGCTTACAGCCCTTGGTGTGCTGCACGACCCTCTTCATCTTCTGGCAGGATGGCAGTGAGCAGTTGGCATTGCGGCACTGGCAAGCATGCACCAGGGACTGGATGCAGCGTTGGATGCTCAGGCGCCGGGACTCCTGGGGGCTCTTGGACTGTGGCTCACCCTGGCTGCTGCCCTCATCATCCAGGCCCAGGCCCCACTTCACCATCTTGTGGGTGTGGCTCTTTGTGTTGTAGCAGTTGATGCAAAGATCATAGTCCTGCAGACAAGGAAAGGAAACAGGCTGGCATCAACACAGGGCCCACCATGACCAGACATTCTGGCTGTCCCTCCCCACGCTAGTGTCTGCATGAGGTTCCCAGGCAGTGGACACCTGTCCCCTTCCTGTCTTGCTTCCTCTGCTGTGGGAAAAACATCAGGTCCTGCTGCATCCCTCCGACTCCCACACCCAGACTGTGAACACTGCAACAATTCCTTCCACACTCCACCAGAGACCATGAGACCTCTTTCCCAGGAAGGCATGAGTGCCAAGTGGTCCTTCCCAACACAGAAGCCCAAGTGACTGAAAACTGCATGCACCTGAAAACAGAGAATAAAGCACTAAATCTGAAGAATATAGCCCCAGTATTAGGAAAGTAGAAAGAAGGCGAGAAGGTGGGAGGAGGTTGGTAAAGAGAGGCACTCAGAGGTAGGCAAAGGAGGGGCCAGGCATGCACATGGGTAACCCCAGCCCTGCCAAGGCAAGCTGCCCACATGGCAGTGACTGTGGGCCATTCTGGGAGGAAGTGCAGGTGGAAAGCATGGCATCAGTGACTCTTTAGAAAGGGAACCAGAGGGCCCAGCATAGTCTGACCTACCAGCCCACCAAGGGGCAACCAGTGAGCCTGTCCATGGAGTCCATTAGGGACATGAGAGGAGGGGCTCATGTTCCTGACCCAAGGTGCCCAACCTGCCAGCAGGGCAGAGGACATCCCTGATCTCTTAGCAAGACTAGAGCTGGAGTCACAAGGAGGCAAAGAGATCTGAATTACCATAGGACCAAAGTACCCCACTGCCCCTTCCAAACTTGCCCAACCAAAACCATAGGCTGCCCTGGGGGTACCGTAGCTGTACTAGACATAGAGTAGGAGCCAGTGAAACACAGGGAAGAAGACAGCAAAGCCTTTGCGTCCCGACGGGCTCCTTGTGCTGGAAGGGTCAGCAGAAACACAGCTGGGCAAAGATACCAACAGTGACCTGTGTGTGCTCAGTTGGAACTCTGTGCTAGCTGCTGGAGAAGGGAAGGAAGTAGTGGGGCCTACCTCACACACAGTACAGTGCCAGCGGGTCTCTACATGGTGTTTGCACTCGTTGCAGGTATAGACAAAGCGGTCCTGGCCCTGGGTATGCAGCTCCACCAGCATGCACAGTGTGGACCACTTGGAGCGGCGCAAGGAGGAGAACTCCCAGTGCTTGTCTCTGGCCAAGGTGAGGAAGGCATCACGTCCATCCATGAGGTCGCAGCTGAGCAGGGGATCAGGGTCCACGATGGGGGGCAGGGTGTTGATGACAGGCCCAGCATGTAGGTGAATCACAAAGAAGACCTGCAGAGAGGAGCTGCATTAGCCTCCCCTCCACCTGCAGAATAGCCAGGCAGCAGAGCCCAATGCCTGCTTAAGGGCCCTACTTCATGGGATGGAACAGAATTGGTGACAAGTACCAACTAGCCAGTTCTGCTCTCTATGAGTAGCCCTCCTCCCTTCCACTGTAGACCTACACAGGGTACCTGGAGATAGCCGGCCTTGAGCCCTCTCCATCTCCTGGCTAGAGGCAGAGCTGCTGCTTCATCTGGTCCCTGAGCATCACCAATACCACACCCACAGCCTGTGCCACTACCTCATTTTTTTTTTTTTTTTAGTTATAGATGGACAGAATGCCTTTATTTTATTTTTATGTGGTGCTAAGGATAGAACCCAGTGCCTCACACATGCCAGACAAGCGCTCTGCCCCTGAGCTACAGCCCCAGCCCTGTGCCGCTACCTCTTTGTGCTTCTCCATGGTAGCATAGAGCTTCTGGGACAGGTCGTTGGACACATTGGGCATGCTGGGCTTCTTCTTGTTGGCGCGGCTAATGCTACTTTTGTTCTTGTTCGTCTTCTTGTTGTTCTTTTTCTTGGCATTCTTGCTGTCACCCTGACTGCCCTGCAACCACAGGTAAAGTTATCAGACCAGCTTCCTCTCCCACACTTGGTACTAACACCCAACTCTCAGGCCATAGGGCTCCAGGAAACCCAGCCTAAGGAGGGAATGCTGGGCAGAACCAGTCTTCAGAGAGAAAGGTGGTGAGGATGGGAGCAGAACCTGTACTCAGCCAGGCCTGGCCATGTCACATGTAGTGCCACGTACCTCTCAAGGGAGAGTGGACCGGGAAAGCTAGTTCAAGATTTAACAAAGGAGGAGGGAGCATTTCCCACTGCTCCCCACTGTTTCACTGGACACTAAATTGCTATACCCCAGCTTGCACTCCCCAGTCTTTTCTGTGCCTGCAAAAGGGCTCTGAACAGTCAAAGCAGGTAAGTCTTCAACAGAAGGGTGTGAAGAAGGAAAAAAGCCATGTTGGAAGGAGCAGGAATTCTCATGAATCTCCTCCAAGTCCCATTTAAGGCCCACATGCTCTATCACTGAGCTTCATCCCCAGCCCAGAACCTTCATTTTTTAACAGGTGGGAGGGGATGGAGAGTCCTCAGGGCCTCACTAATTTTCCAAGGCTGGCCTTAAACCTGCAAGGCTATTTTTGAACTTTGATCCTCCTATCTCAGCCTCAGAAGTTCCTGGGATTTCAGGTGTGCACCATTGCACCCAGCTTCAGAACTTATTTTAAGAGCAAAGCAGCATTCTACCCTAAGTGTTAGTCATAAATAAAATTATGGACATCCTCAAGATGTCCCTGAGGAAGGCAAATCCTTGCCATCATGTTTAAACTCCACATAAAGAGAACAGCAAGTCCATGCTTCAGCACCTGTGGCACCTTGCCCTCCAACCATGTGTGCGTCCCTGGTACATGGCCAGGGATGGCCCAGGGATAAGCCCCTCTCTACCTCCACGCTCTGAACAACTTTGCTGCCATCAAACCAGATGCTTCCCTGGCTGGGATAAAGCTTGGCCTGCGATATTCCCCAGAGCCTACCTCCTATGGCAACAAGGCTCTCCTGCAGGAACTCAGCAGTCAGGGCTCTGATTCTAACCAGGCACCATAACCTCCCAAAGTTGGGCCCAAACCAGATCACCTGGTTTCTCCTGCACTGAACTTTGAAACCTGCCAGACTTTCCAAGGTCAGCCCAAGTATAGACTTCACCCTAAGGTGAAGAGACTTCTAAGAACCGAGTCACCAAACCCTGATGTGGACCACCTATGCTCCAGAGAAAGGCCAGCCTCTGTCAGTCTAGTGTCAGGAGGTCAGAAAATGACAAGAGTTCTAGAGCTCTTGTTGGGAACCACCAGGACAAAAGCCTGTGTGTCTCCTGGTCAACACTCTGTTCTGTAGAGACTGAGGGCTGGCAGGCCAACAGCATAACCAAGTTGCACATGGCCTATCACAAAGCAACCATGCAACTGAACACAGTACATTTCCTTCACTGTCTAGAAGGCTCTTCCTCTGCATCTTGTGTGGTGGGGGTCTGAGCTCCCATGTCACCTGTGTGACAGCACCCCAGACCTCCTACCCTAGCCCCTGTACTTTCACTACTTCTCAGAGCTCTCTCACCACTGCAGCAGGAGCCACGCTGGGTTCAGAAGGATAATTATCAGTGAACAGGCTGAGCACAGGAAGGCAAAGGAAGAGCTGCCACAAAATGCAGAAACAAGGTTCTCCTGGTTAAGTAACTTCTGTGTACCTCTGCCTGCCTTCCTAGCTCCCCAACAGGACACCTTCCCTTCTCCTCTCTGGATCTAACTCCCATGTTCCATCCCTGCTCCCGGAGCATCCTTTGTGTAAAGACCTCGGGCAGATCCCCTACCATAGGTGGTGACATCCTGAGCCCATGAGTCGAAGACACCATCACAGAAATAACACAATTGCAAATGTGTGCTTCCTGGCCTGCTACTTAGCATGCCTGGGGCCTGCTAGGGCTGGGGTCTTGGGGAGGGCCTGCACCTCGGGGGTCTCGCTAGCTGCCGTGCTCTCCTCTTTCTTCCTCTCTTCTTCTTCTTGTTCTAGTTCCTTAATGCTCTCTTCCAACACATTGGGCCAAAAATCTCCTTCAAAATAGGGCAACTCCTTGGCACTTGTGAGCCTGTCTTCGGTTGCTTGTTTGAAGATGTCCTGGGAGAAAGCAAAGCACAGCAGTGAGAGGACAGCCCTTAGGCCCCTGGGAACCAGGCACACCAGCCACTGATAGGACCGGACTGCACTGCTGAGATCTACTATAGACACCTCTGCATTTTCTTTCTACACTGCCAAGTTTTTGCTTTTCAATCTTTTTACATGTGTCTGTGGTGCTGGGGATTGAACCCTACTCGCTACCACTGAGCTAAATCCTCAGCCCATCTTATTTTGAGACAGGGTCTCACTAAGTTGCCAAGGCTGGCCCTTAAACGTGTGATCCTTTGGCCTTAGTTTCCTACAAGTGTGAGTCACTGTATCTGACTTTGTTTTCTAATTTTAATTTACTTTTTTGTGGTACTGGGGATGAAACCCAGGGCCTTGCACATGCTAGGCAAGTGCTCTACCACAGTAGTATATCTCCGGCCCCATTTTCTTTTCTTTCTTTTTTTTTTTTTTAATATTTATTTTTCAGTTTTAGGTGGACACAATATCTTGATTTTACATTTATGTGATGCTGAGGATCGAACCCAGTGCCCCATGGATGGTAGGCGAGCATTCTACCACTGAGCCACAACTCCAGCCCCTCCCATTTTCTTTTTTAAAATTTTTTCTTCTATACAGGGTAAAAATGGGAGTTCATAACCCACTTGAATCAAAGTGTGAAATATGATATATCAAGAACTATGTAATATTTTGAACAACCAACAATAAAAATTAAGAAAAAAAATTTTTTTTCTTCTATTTATTTTTAGTTTCCTGGCCCCATTTTTCTAATATTTTTATGTGAACACAATTATAATGCACATAAGCACAAGAGGAAAACACAAAAATGAATTTCAATCAGCTATGAAAAGCACAAAACCATTGGTACCTTATAGTCATGAATGATCCGCTCTGCAAACGCCTTGTCCAGCATCTTCTTATACCACTCCTGCAGTCGTTTTGGTTTGGGGATTTTTTGATCAGGGGGGTGGCAATGGAAGATGTAGTCATCTCCTTCACTTGGGGGACAGGCCCAGATGTGTCCTGTTACATACCTGCAGGACACAAGCATCAGTGTAATAGGCCCTACCTTCAAGGAGTCATAGCTAAGGATCAAGAGCCAAAACAAGGAAAGAAATAATTACAAAGGAAGAATAAAGAAATTACCATAATGCTTATGGTGGAACCTGTGAGAGACCTAGGTTCCAAGCCAATGTGCTGGGGGTGGGGTGGGTGGTAGGTTATCACTTATGAATTCAAGCCTGGATGTGGCCCTGAAACACTTTGCTCTCAGAGATGTTCACAGGAAGAGGACCAGTCATGGCCCTGATCACCTCATCACAGAGCCTCGAAGCAAGTCAAGGCACACAAAGGAGTACATCACGTGTGTGCTGTGCTTTCTGCTTATGTCCTCAGCGCACCGGAAAGGCAGCTCAGTTGAGTATTTCTAAGGGGTTACGGTCAAATCACATTCATTCTAAGACATTTTTTTTTTAAAAGTTGTAGATGGATTCATTTTATTTATATTATTTTTATATGGTGCTGAGGATTGAACCCAGTGCCTCACACTTGCTAGGCAGGCACTCTACACTGAGCCATAACCCCAGCCCCTGTTTAAGACATTTTGATCATCTAGATAGCTCTAACCTTTTCAAGTTTGGGGAAAGAATGTGATAGATCTGTAATGTAAAAGTCAAAGTACTGCAGAAAGAAGTCAGACATAAGGGACACTGTACTGTAGGGTATCATTCCTATGCGATATCCAGAAAACACAAATTACAGAGGCAGGAAGTAGATTAGTGGTTGCCTAGGGCAGAGGTGGGACAGGGATTAACAGCAAAGGGGCGCAGGGATCTCTTGGAGGGGATGGAAACATTCTAAAACTGATTTATGTTGGTGGCTGCAATATTCAGTAAAGTCACCCAAAGCCAATAACTTGTAAACGTGAAATAAGCAGATTTTTGTGATATATAATCATGCCTCGATTAAGGGGAAAGAGAATGAAAAGCAAGCGAAAGCAGGCAAAGAGCTTAAATTGTCTCCTCTTGAAGTCAGACATACATGCTTCCAAAAGCACTTTAAAGGAGGCTTGGAAGACTTCTGAATTGTAATATGACAAATAAACACACACACACACACACACACACACAAATTTAGGTGAAAAAACTCATTATTTCACAAGATACACATGCAGGAAAAAACAAAAAGTTTTTATTGGTTCTGAATAATTTAATCCTTACCCCAATTTCTTCACATATTCTAGGTATCCAATAAGGATCTCGTGGTAAACAGCTGTCCGGAGGCATCGCGGCCGGAAGAAATGAATACTGTCCAGATAAGATATGTAAACACGCCTGCAGGGGTACATTTTAAATTTAGGATCGCAAAGAAACACCAGCATCCAAAAACATTTTCATAAAGGCTTTGTTTTGTTTTGTTTTTGCAGTACTGGGAATTCATCAGGGCCTTGTGTATGCTAGGCAAACACCCTACCACTGAGCTATATCCCTAACTCTTTTTAAAAAAATTGAGACTAGTCTAATGCCCATGCTGGCCTCTAACTTTGAGATCCTCCAGAGTTAACGGGATTATAGGTGCACATCACTACTCCTGGTGATGCTATTTTGACAGAATGGGATAAAATCCCTACCATAGACCCTGTTGCCAACCAAGGAAACAGTTATCATTTTCTGCTGCCAACAGAAAGGATGGCATCCCTACCCAGGCAGAGCCAAGGAAGAACTAAGGCAAACTTGGGAGACAACTGGCAGGTCCCTCTCACCAACATTCTTTTTTTTTTTTTTTTTTTAATTTTTTCAATATTTATTTTTTCAGTTCTTGGCGGACACAAAATCTTTTGTTTGTATGTGGTACTGAGGATTGAACCCGGGCTGCACGCATGCCAGGCGAGCGCGCTACTGCTTGAGCCACATGGCAGCCCTCACCTATATTCTTGACTAAACCTGTACCAACTTCACTTGAACAGGTACATCCAGGTGCCCCCATGTCCGGGTAGGATGGAGAAGACAGTAAGACAAAGGCCCATGTGCACTCACAACCCAGACACGTGCCATGGTCATCAAGACCCTTTGATTCCCACTAGTTTAGAGAAAAAAAAAACTAACTGGTTTGGTTAGTTAACTGTGGCTTATTTAAATCTAGTACTGAAGAACACATGCTCTCTAAGGAACCTGAGCTTGGTCTGTGTGCATACAACATTCGAGCAATGCACTTCTTTAGAAAGGAGATGGAAGGCTACCTTGTGTTTGGCGGGGGACAATCAGAGCCGTACTCCTGGACGTGCATTCCAAAAAAGCACACATCCACTCCATCGATCTCCTCGAAAGCAAAGAGTGCTTTGGTTCGATAGGGGAAAGACTCAGACATTTCTCCAGAATCCACAAACCTAGAAAGAAAGCCAGACCTGGTGTTTAAAGACATTCTTGTCTATGAGGCGCTGCTGATCTAATCTGGTCAGGACAGTGAAGGTCCAACCACCTCTGGGACTGGTCAGAGAACCCTCCTGACCTGACCACCTGGCTATAAGCCAGTTCTTCCTGACCCTGCTTCCTGGACCAGGAAACCCCTTCCATAGAGGGAAGCCTGGCCAAGCAGATGTGAGGACTGCTTCAGCAGGGTTTAGGAAGTGAGCACACAAACCTTGACTTCATCCCAGGTTTGACCTCCACAGTCTTGTCTGAGCTGGCCACTACTCTGACAAAAACCTCCCCAGCTTCAGGGTGATTCTGGCGCCGCAAAAACTTGTTCACTCGGTCTTCTAAGTGGTTTCCCAATCTTGTGGTCTGCAGTCCTAGAAGCCCAGAAGGAGCAGGTAAAAGGATCAGAGAGCAGCTGAGACCACAGAATCCGCTTCTCCCACTACCACCTGAGGCTCTCCAGGGTTAACATCTTATTTGAGATATGTGTGCTTATGAGGGAAAGTAGACTGTGAAGTCTTAGGGTGTTTACCTGCCCAGATGTTTGTTTCCATTCTTTTCTAAAAGGCAAAGAATCATAGACACAGCCTGAATCTGTCGAGGACTGTGAGGAGAGGATGGAGAGAGCCAGACCTGAGAAGGAGCGAGGCTGCACCCTCCTTGTCTCCTACCCCAGGTACTGGGAGGCTACAGCTTGCGTGACAAGCCCTGCTTTGGCGTTGTGTGGAAGGCCAGCTTCAAACTTGTCTCCCATGGATGTCAACAACAGGCTGCTTCCTGCCCCAGAATCAAACTTGAAGAATTCTTAACAGCAAATGGGAACACAGCACACTTTCCGGATAGGAATGGTGTAAGTATGTTCAGTAACTAAGCCTCCCAGCTCTATTACAGTCCAGCTCACTGCAGTCTAAACAGGACGCCAACATTCTGGGGCCCACTAGTCAAGCGTCAGTCAAGAAATTGTTTTATGAGTGCTCCGATTACTTAGAGGGAGGCAGGATGGGCACCAGGTCAGGACCCACTCTGGTCCCAGTCTACCATCTCCATGACGAAGCCTGTACTGGGTGGCTTCTCTCCTTCCCTCTCCACACCAGGGACACCCCTCATGTGGCCACTGTGATAGGAACAACCAGAGGTAAAACAGCAGTCAACATAGGGGAACTGGTCAAGAATAGACAGAATAGGACCACATAGTGAAACATTCATGGTGATTACTTATAGGTGATGAATTTTTTTAAAAGTTTTTATTAGTTGTAGTTGGACACAACACCTTTATTTTATTTTATTTATTTATTTTTATGTGGTGCTGAGGATCAAACCCAGCGCCTTACACATGCTAGGGGAGCACTGTACTGCTGAGTCACAACCCCAGCCCCAGGTGATGAATTTTTTTTGTTTTGTCCTGTCCATGAGTGCTGCGGATTGAAGCCAGGGCCTCATGCATACTAAGTGTGTACTCTACTACTGAGCCAAGCCCCTGAATGATGAAATTTTAAAGCTTTCTTCTTTACTGACTTTTCAATATTTTCTGCATTAGTGAGAAATGTAAAAAGTAAAACCTATTTGGGATCTTAGAAAGTTTCTTGCTAAGAACAAGAAATACCTGGAAAATTTAGACTATTTCATTTTTTTCTAAAATAAGCCTATCAATAATGGTGCTTTTTGGGTATGTAAGTTATATATAAATAAATAATTTTAAAAAAGCTTGGAATGCTGAGGCAGGAGGAGTACAGGTTCAAAGCCAGCCTCAGCAATTTAGCAAGCTGTAAGCAATCTAGTGAGACCCTGTCTCAAAAAATAAAAAGGGCTGGAGGGCTGGGGAAATGGCTCAGTGCTCCTGGGTTTAGTCCCTTGTACTGAAGGGGAAAGGAAAAAAAAAAAAAAAAAAAAAAACATGGAACAAGAGCTGGGGTTGTAGCTCAGTGGTAGAGCACTTGCCTTGCATGCATGAGGCCCTGGGTTCGATCCTCAACATCACATTAAATAAATAAAGAAAGAAAAAACATGGGACAATAAAAATGTATAAAGTTATAAAAATGAGGAAAATGGCTTGAAGGTCTATTTTATTCTTTGATGAACTTCTACACTTCACATGGGCTATGAGAGTTTGAGACCCTGTACTTGGCATCCCCTAGTGGTTGAGAACCATCTGATAGGTTGAGATGTGAGTACAAAGGAACTCAAGAGCCAACTGCCCAACCTGCTGAAGCCCTTGAAGGAAACCCACAAATTCTCACACTGCTGCTGAGCAAGATATGTCCCTCATGAGGCAGATTCCAGGTCAGACCCACAGCAGCCCTTTCCCAGGAACGAGGACTCAGAATAGCTCTAAGCTTCTGGAGGAAGATCTGCCAACAAATCTCTCAGAATTTACAAAGTTTACTGTCTAAGCTTCCTTAACTTTTGTTGAAAACACAGACTGATCATAAATGCTAGATTCATGTATGGATCAAGCCAAATGACAACTGAGCTCTAAAACCAATGTGTTGAGAGGCACCAAAAGAAGACTAGGGGAATTCATATAAGCTCTACTCCATACCGCCCTGGAGAAAAGTCTCCCATAAACTTACGCTTAGCACTGAATTTGTTTTCTTTTCGAGGTCTGCCAGTTTTCTTCAAGCAGTTGTCACACACAAAGCTGCAAAACAAATAACGGTGTCATCAGATCACATTCCACAGTACCTATTGCTGGACCAAAGAAATGCAGCATCAAAATACACTGATGGGGGCTGGGGTTGTGGCTCAGCAGTAGAGTGCTCGCCTCACATGTGTGAGACCCGGGTTTGATCCTCAGCACCACATAAAAATAAACAAAACAAAACAAAAAAACATTGTTGGTGTATTAAATCCTGTGATTGTAAAAGATGAAGAAACAGAAGGTGCTGATTCTACAACTCTTAAAGCAGGAAAACACTTAGGTTTAGAACCAACTGCCATCTCCCTTAGTGAACTCTAGCTGATAACAATGAACACAACAGTCACTAAGCTGCCTTCCTACCAGCTCCATGCAGAACTGCCCTCCCTTCCCCAGATCATAGGAAATACTCACCCTGAAGGCCAAATGATATCATAGTGCAGGACACAAATCTGATGCATCTTGCGGCCACACTCCTTGCAATCAACGAAACTGGGAGACAAAGAAACAACATAGTCACACCAAGCCACACAGCAGTCGTCTTGGGCATGACCCTATGTGTGCATCCACACCCTCCCTAGGTCACTTTGAACACCCAACATTGGTGCATCTGTCAACTGATCCAGCTGTATTTTAAAAGTTACTATGATAAAGGCAAATTTCACAGGCCAGACATTCTGACATTAATATGCATTTTCAAGATTGACACCTTTTCTAGGTAATTTCACAATATTTAAACTGATACAGGAAATAGAGAACAATATTTTCAGTGTTATGAACACTTGTTCTTAAGAATTTTGTGGATAAAAGCTGAGCACAGAGGTGCACACCTGTAATCCCAGTGGCTCAGGAGGCTGATGCAGGAGGAACATAAGTTCAAAGCCTAAGCAACTCAGTGCGACCCTGTCTCTAAACATAATACAAATTAGGATGTGGCTTTGTGGTCAAGTGCCCCTGGGTTCAATCCCTGGCACAAAATAAATAAATAAATAAATAAATAAATTTATTGATGGGGTGTGTGTGTGTGTGCAGATATAAACAGGAAAGTAGACATATAAGAGCAGCACACTGAGCCTGAGGCGCAGGAGGTAGAAGGCATCCAGTCTGGTGAATGGACAGCTTCCTCTGAGCACACACTGGCATGGAAGAAGGCTGGCCCACACATTCCTCCTTCCCCACAATATCCTATGCAGCCACTGCCATCAGAATTGGGCTCCATCATCTCCGGGAGCTGCCTCCTAAGGAGACCTCTGCAACAAGGTGCTGGGAGGGCAAACCTTCAGGTTTTTCAGGTCTCTCTCTTACTGCCACCCTGGGAGGTCTTAGGGCAGCACAAACTATCTCCAGGCTCTTCTGGAATATGACCCACACCCTTGCCCGTGAACGTTAGGCCCCCCATCCTTCATTCTGCCACTGAGTGTGCTGTGTAAGCTTGCAGCCACGGTCTACCCTAACCCTGCCTCTCTGTCCCCATTTTCTCAGGGGGAAAAAGGTCACAAATACAATGCTATGTGCAAGAGTGGCAGCACTGTGACAATGCTGAAGGCTCCCACCCCACCCTACAAGTCTGCTGTTCTGGGCCTTCACTGCTTTCCTTCAGTGCAGCATCACCGTGGCCAGCACCCGCAATCTCCATAACTGAGTTCAGCCCCACGCTGAGGCGCAAGGGGAGGCACAGCAGTAATTCCCTCAATTACTGGGTCATCTCCATAGACACTCCACTCTAAACTCTCCCTCCCACATCAGGAAAGGAAATATTGAAAATATGCCATGTATTCTTGACCTCAGGACATCACTGATGAATTTCATCCCCCCATTACTATAGATTGCCTGGACAGTGCCCCTGCCCTTAGCCCCACAGTGTGGTCTCTCCCACCTGCAACAGTCCTGCTTTAGTTCAGGACTTGACTTGTTGCCTGAGTTGCACGTGAAGTCTCTTAATGAGTTCCCCTTCTAGAGATCAAAATCCTTTCCAGTCAATTCACCTCCCAGATCCAGGTGATTTTTTTGCACCAGAAACCAAAATTTTTCTTCAAAACCTCCCCAGCCATATGGTATGAAGTCTAAATGTCAAAAACAGTATAAATGGCCCTTCTATAAGGACCTTTGCCTCTGTATCCCATGAGGGTAGGCCTTCACTCCCAGGACACCAACCAACCACTCCAGGAGACCTGCAGTTGTACTGGACATCCTGTGTTCTTTGGTTCCTTTGTGTCTAGAATGTTCTGCCCCTCCCCCCAGCACCTGCTTCCATATGACTATCACCTTTTCCAGGAAGTAGACCCTAACTGTGGTGGTGCCACTCTGCCAGACCAGTGCCCCTCACCTTTGACACCACTCTTCCTGCCTCCTGCTGCCTGCACTATGATTCTCTGCTGCTAGACTATTAATAGTTGAAAGGAGGAGCCCCCTCTGTTCATCCACACAGTCCACTGCCTGGCACCTAGCATGTGAATATATCTGAAATTGAAAAGTAAATATAAATTGTAAAGAACTAAAAAACTCTGCAGGGAAGGTAATAATGTGAAAATGAGGTGGACAATAAGAAATAACCACCCAGTTGTCGTGAAAAGCATACGAGGGTCTTCAAGGGAAGTCTCCACAGGTACCAGCATTTCACCATGGCTACCAATCTGGGTTTTATTTATTTATTTGGCGAAAACAGGATTGAACCCAGGGGCACTCTGTCATTGAATTACATCTCTAGCCCTGTATTTCCAAATGCCTGGATGGGAGGTCTCTTTCACCGTAGTAACTGAGCTCCTAGGAGTGAGGAGATCAAGGGAGGGCAGAACCTGTTTCTGGGCCTTGGATGTGTCTTTATTCACACTTCCCAGAGAATAAATGTGCCTGGAGCCAGTACTCCCCAAGCAACCCCAGACACTGTCCACCCTAAGGTCAGAAAACAGTGGGTATGGTTAAGGCCCTAGGGTGCCCCTCGGCATTCAAATCTGAGTACCTGGGACATATCAAAGTCTCTTTAAAAGCTATTATAAAGCAAATTTTGCAGATGATCATGACAGACACTCAGCTTCCCATTATATTTATTTGTTTATTTTTAGGTACTGGGGATTTAACCCAGGGGTGTTTAACACTGAGTTACATCTTCAGCCCTTTTTATTTTTTGATTTTAAGACAGAGTCCTTGCTTAAGGCCTTGCTAAATTGCTGAGGCTATACTGAGCTTGGGGTCCTCCTATCTCAGCCTCCAGAGTCACTGGGATTACAGGTTATTTTTAGAAAGTGGTTTCTAAGAGGTTTTCTTTCTGAAAACTTCCTCACTAAGTAGTTTTCTGCCTGTGATCTCTAAAGAATCACACTCAATGTATCCTTTTTTCTTCTTTGCTCATCCCTCCCCACCCTACCGCCACCCCATACCGAAGATTGAATTCAGAGTGCTTTTACCACTGAGCCACACTACGATCCTTTTGAAACAATTTAAATTTTGAAACAGGCCCTCACTAAAAGTTGCTATGGCTGGCCTCGAACTTGCAATCCTCCTGTCTTAACCTCTGGAAGTATCTAGGATTAAAGGTGTGTGTCACTCTGCCAGCTTGGTTTCTTGAAGACAAAAATGACCAAATTATTAAAGAGCTCTAAGAGAACCAAAACATCCATCTGATCTTATCATAGTTAAAATTCAACAATTGGAGAACGTGTGACAGAGGCATATCTATTTTGTAAGAGTTAAAAAAAAAATAAAAAGAAAAAGAACTTATTTCTAAAAGATAACTGTACACAAAAATTCTATTTGGGGCATTGTATCTTTAATGTTTTCTCCCACAACCTAATCATAAGGAGTAACTTGCCAGATCTGAAATAAAAATTAAAAGTTAGAAAAACAAAAATAAAGAAAGAAAAAGAAACAAAAAAGGTTATATACTCACGGTTCAGGGTCTAAGGTATCATTTTTCTTCTTTTCAAACTGATCCTTGGAAATTGTCCTTGTTAAAAAAAGAAAAAGAAAAATGTGAATCAACAAACATTTCTCTGTGGAATATAAACTACTGGGTCTGTTCAAATACTAGTGAGTGAACTAAAATCTTTTTTTTTTTTTTTTTGTGGTGCTGGGGATTGAACCCACCAGGGCCTTATACATGAGAGGCAAGCACTCTACCAACTGAGCTATGTCCCCAGGAGTGAGGAGATCAAGCGAGGGCAGAACCTGTTTCTGGGCCTTGGATGTGTCTTTATTCATACTTCCCAGAGAATACCTGGAGCCAGTACTCCCCAAGCAACCCCAGACACTGTCCACCCTAGAGACAGAAAACAGCTGAAATCTTAAGCAGACATAATGAAGGGATGAAACTTCCACAGAAGTACTGCCCTTTATTTCCCCACATATTCCACTACCACCTACCCTCCATGTATTTTCTTTGTAGGGACTATTTCCTTCCAACTATTATCAGCTTTACTACAAGATTTAATTAAGACTAGTTAATACATGACGACAAAATTGTGTTAAGATTCAAACCTGTTAATTTTCAATCAAATTTGCATAGTGAATGGCTACTGAATTGGACTGACAGCAAAACCAGTTAAACTGAGACATTTCCTTAATACAGCAAGGTCAATGTCTGTGTGAGGTATGCATCTGGGTTTCTACTGTCTTTCTACTAAGATGACTGCAGATGTAGATTACTTCTGATTCAAAGAATTATATGATCTAATTATTGTATTTTTGCTGGTTATTTTATTTTTTAACTGATACACAAAAACTTAAAGAGTTGAAGGCAAAAACACAGAAGTCATACATATTAATGGGGCACCATGGTACAGGGGATTGAACCAAGGGCCTTGCACATTTTAGGCAAGCCCTGAGCTTCATCCCCCAACCCTTTTTTATTTATTTTATTTTGAGAGACTGTCTTCCAACTTGTGATTCTCCTGCCTCAGTCTCCCAGCTGGCTACGATTACAGATGTGCACCACTATCCCTGGCAACCATGCAAATGTCTGATGTGTATATATATATATATATATTATATATATATATATACACACTAAATGCTGCTTAAATCAGGTTAAACATGTTAGTTCACATTTATCATTTCTTTGTGTGGAAAACTTCCAAAAAAAATCTTTTTAGTTATTTTAAATGTATAGTACACAACTGTTATCCATAGTCACCATATCATGCAATAATACCCCAGAGCTCCTTACTAAAGTGTACCTTGGTACTCCCTCACCCTGCAATCCAATTGTTCATCATGTAATTAGACCAAAGAATTAACACAGCAAGGGAAGTAAAAATAAATTCAATAAGCAGAATTGTAGATGTTTGGGTATCTATGTGGTTTGAGTGGTTGGGCTTGCTGTGTGTGTGAATAATGGCAAGTCTGCATCACTGTAAGTTGTCTCTGCAGTGAAGCCTTCCAGCTTGTGGTGCACAGCCACTCTGCAGCCAGACTTCCAACATGGCCAGAAGCATGGAGGACTAGAGGAGAGAGAACTACAAAGCACTGGCAGGCTATTTGGTATTTTAAGCACAAATGAATTGATCATCCATTTGTGGGCTTCCCCTTTTCTTCCATTTCTGGCTATTCTACCACTACTCAAAAGCATTGGGGAGGAAAACATAAACTCTGTACAGGAATGAATTAGAAAACTCATACCTGTCTACAATTTCCAAAAATGGACCTTGTCAATCATGAGGGGAAATCAATTTCTTCTTCTTCTTCTTTAAAAATTTGTTTAGTTGTAGATGAACACACAGTATCTTTATTTATTTATTTTTGGTTTAAACAATATTTTTATATGGTGCTGAGGATTGAACCCAGTGCCTCATACATGCAAGGCAAGCACTTTACCACTGAGATACAGTCTCAGCCCCAATTTCTTCTTTTTGTACTGAGGACTGGTCCCAGGGGTGCTTCAGCACTGAGCTTTATCCCTCGTCCTTTTATTTTTTGAGAAAAGTTTTTGAGGCTAGTCTCAAATTTGCAATCCTCCTGCCTCAGCCTTCTGAGTTGCTGGGATTATAGGTGTGTGCAACCAAGTTTGGCTTTTCTTTTTTTGACACAGGGTCTTGCTATGTTATCCAGGCTGATCTCAAACTCATGTGAGCTCAAGTGATTCTCCCAACTTAGACTCCTGAGCAACTGGAATTTCAGGTGTGTACCACTGTGCTTGGCTCAAGCAATTTTCTTTACCAGAAGAGATGTATGAAGGTCAAGAGTCCACTGAAGTACAGTGGGAGGCTGCAGTACCCTTGCCTTGAATGGAGGAAGAATGTTTATGGCTGTTTATGGCTAAGACCCTTCCATCTTCAAGTATAAATGTCCACACACACACATACAATTAAATGTGGGCATAGTTAATATGAAAAAACTACACTGAAGTAAAAATGGCACACTCTGGTTTCCCTTTTAATCACAGGCAAGAGGAAAATATGAGAAAATTGTACTTACGTCTGGGGCTGTGAAGGGTCGTCACCCAGGGTCACATTCTCGCCCTGGATCTCTGTGAAACACTTCTCACAGAAATGATACCTGTCAGCAAGAAGGCCATACTTGGGTGAACTGGTCCATCATAACACACAGCCACCCAAGCAACGAAGCCACCAATCAGAGCAGGGCAGAGCACCACGACGAAGGGGGGGCGTTGTTGGTTGATTGATGGGTCAGTGAGGACAATGGAAGGAACAGGGGCAGGTGGGGAAGGGCAGGATTAGAGAACAGGGAAGGGAACAAATAGCACAGACACAGAGGTAAGACGCAAACACGAGACAACACAGAGCAGAAAGCCAAGGCAAAGCATTGATTAGCATTCGGTCTCATTGCACATGTCACAGGCCATCATCACTAACAACGACAGGTTGTCCGGCTCCAAGATGCAAATGCTTTAGAGTTGTTAATGCTAGGATTGCATGGAGCCTAAATTTAGGAATCTGAATTTTGTCATAAAATCAAATATAACGCCAGGGTTTGAGATGGAGCAAAATAGTCTGACAAAAGGCCTTAAAAATCAATTTAAACTGAAATACTTTATTTTTCAAAATAAAAATTTATGCTTGACAGCAATTCAAAGGTTTTATTTCTGATATTAAGCCAGCTCTTGAAATATGTGATAATGTTGAGCACCCAGAACTGGTTTTAATTTATTCCTGTTATTTTTCTCAAGTTAATCACTCAGTTTATTGTATTCTAATACAAATGAAACCAAATCCATACTCTAGACAAACATTTAACAGAAATGCAGTCAGGGTCAAAGACTTTCCAGCCATTTATTAATAAGTATATAGAAAAATGATATATTGTATAAATAATACAATATATGTAAATACACGAACAATCTTAAAGACTTTTAAAATTCAGTTCTAAGCTCTGATTTGAAGTTTTGGTGCTGGGACCAATCATTCATCAATCTGAAATACTTGGCGAATGACTGTTCTGACTTGGTAACTACCCAAGTTAAGCAAATTTAGAGTTTATCGTTAAAGCACAATCTGCATTTGAGAAATTATCCATCACCCCCAATTTCTTATACAATAATAACAAAGAGCCTGGGCTCAAGCTATCAAATAAGAACAATTAAAATAAAAACTATTAAATGTTTGGAAAGGACATGAATCAGAAATCAACAAAAATGCAGGTGGATGTCGCTTATACAAGATGAGTACACAAGAATACTGTAAAATAAACAAGCTGAATCGAGAATGACACAAGCAAAAAGAATGAGTGTAAGATAGTGATGGCAGCACGATAAAATGCAATTGTAGAGCTCAAAACTATGTCGAGGAGATGCCAACAAGGATTAGTAGTAGAAACACTGTGACAAGACACCGGGTGTCATGCTGACCCCGGGGCAGAGGGAGGCACTGATCCTCATCACTTGCTCAGCTACAGATGGAGGCACAGCCAGGAGAAGAGGCCCCCACAAGTCCCAGTGCCCACCTCAGTCAAACACACCCAACATTTGTCTGCTGGGTCTCACTAACTGAAACACACAGCAAACAAAAAAATGAAACCTGAGAGCATGCAATATCTCAAGGTTATTCAATTTCCCACACTCAATCGATGAGCACAGGGTGGAATTATTGCAATTAACAACTGTATTAATAAACAGTTTCTTGCAGGGACTAGTTTATTTGGGTCCAATTCAATTCATAAATTCTGCCAAGATTAAAAACTCTGACTAGCAACAGACAGATTAACAGTTTTTAAATATACACATATATTTATATGTTTCTGGATGAACTATAGCAACATCCTGGACATTCACTATTTTGCAAATATTCCTATGGAGACATTAAATCATATAAAACAATTTCCACATGTAGGAGGGCATGGTTATCGCTGGCAAGAATTAAAATACAAAACTATAGATCGATTCAGTGGAAAGAAAACAAAATGCGAAACAGATATTCCCTCAAAGCAAGTATTTCCTTTTTAAAAATAAAGCTCAGAATTAACTGCGCCACTCCTTATACAAAATGCAGCTCTGTGGGCCAGTGAGAAGACTACCACTGGACAGTTAAAAGTGAAATTACCACCACAATTATAAGCAAGTCCAAATGGCCTTAAAATCCTGGGCAAATTCTTTGCTTTTATTCAAGAAGGGCATCAAGCCCCACAACTCTAGGAAAAAAGAACAATGAACCCATCCCATGTAGCAAACTGAGGCGGAATGAAGTATTGGTAGTTAGATGGCAGCCTCCTGAGACACCAAGGAAACCTAAGTAAGTCTCTGTGTGACCCATGCCCACCCCTGGGAATCTCAGGTCAGTAAGTGGGAAGGACAGAGTGTTAACAGACTCTCATGTCTGTCCCAAAGCACTGTCTTTCAAGAAATCACAGAATTTAGCCTCTTCATGTTTAAGAAGGGAAGAGGTCATGGACCAGGCACAGCCTCTCTCCTTCCTCACCCTTCAGAGAAACGAAGACGGTGAACAGAATGGGAAGGGGCTGTCCATCAAATCAAACCAGCTAAAACCACCCTGACCATGGGTAACAGATACTAATGTTAGACTGTCCCTATCTATTACCTAGTCCAAACTTTATTCTCCCTGGAAATGAAGGTTCAGAAGTCCACTCTTCAACCATAACAGACTAGGTGGCATTTTGCTTGTGTGAAAAAAGCAGTTTGATGAATATGGAGCTGTGAAGGAGAAATCCTTCATATAATCCGATGAGGACGTACATCTGGGTGGCTAAAGTAGCACAACGTGACTGCATAGTCTATTTGAAAGGGTAATTTATCACATGGAGTAAGTTTTCAAATGCAGATTGTTTTAAGTATTCTATCTAAGTGTATAACTGAGGTATCTATAAATAATCCCCATATTAGCTATAGATAATTCCTGGAAAAGCTGCAAGTTTCCCCAGCATGAGTTAGTTCTAAATTTTCAAAGCTTAGCAACAAGTGAAAACAGAATCACATACTAGTTTATACATTAGGATTTCACTTGTTTAAATGGTCTGTAGAATTTTCTATTGTTCTAAGTGCCCAAATAGTTTAGCACAGGTGATAAAACAAATATTTAAGAATACCACAGTGTTCATAAATAGTTGAAGTTGAGAACAAAAATGCAGTTAGAATGCTCACCACAGAACAGGGCCACTGCTTTCTTAGAATAACAATGTTAATCTACTCAAGTACAGCACTCCAGAGAGCAGAGGTACATCTAAAGCTTTTAAAAGCATCATTCATAGGATACAACTATTTTATTTGCATTTTACTCAAGAAAAATATATTATTTTTATTTGGTAAAAGTGAATTTTTATGTAGAAATAAAATCGGATATTTCAGAACTTTCCAGAAAGTCCTATGTTTGTGCTCCACTGATGACCTTCCCTGAGAAGGCATTAGTGTGCCCTGATCCCATCAACTCTATCTTTAATTGCTCTCAGCATCCGTGGCCAAAGTCTGTTCCTATCAGCAAAGGCAGGATCCCAAGGACCCAGGAACAGTGAAACCAACAATGAAAAGGCCTCAACCACTTAAAGATAGTAGCAAGTACTCTTTTCTTCCTTCCAGACCAAAACCGTGCTGGGTGACAGAGCAGCAGACAGTATTTCTCAGGGCTTAACATGTGGCTTTCAGGAAAGATGCTACTGCTCCTGTGTCTCTGAGATAAGTTTAAGTTTAAGCTTGATATATCATGACAAGTGTTAAGGACCATGGGGCTAAATCGTAAATGGTGGGGCCAGACTTCTGAAACAATGCCTGGTCATAAGGGCTGTGGTATAATTTTAAAGTTTGCTTTAAAATGATAAAGGGGATGCTGAGCAGAAATCAAACTCTGTTAAACTGGTTTTGGCAAGACAGCTGCACAGGCCACACTTCCAGGAGAGCTGCCCTTATATTGTACAGGAAGCCAGTGAAGCCTCTCAAACCATTTTTGTGTCAACAGCCCCCCCCCCACCTCCCGTGGTACTGGGGATTGAACCCTGGGGTGCTCTGCCACTGAGCTACATCCCCAGTCCTTTAAAAAAACTTTTTTTTTTTTTTTTTTTTTTTGAGATAGGGTCTCAGTAAATTGCTAAGGCTTGGCTCAGCCTCCCAAGTAGTTGGAATTATAGGCATGTACAACTGGGTCCACCAACAGTTTTATTTTATTTTTTAAATAGGATTTTGAGCCCTGTGATATGATACATGCCTGTAATCCCAGCAGCTTGGGAGGCTGAGACAGAAGGATTACAAATTCAAGTCCAGCCTTAGCAATTTACCAAGGCCCTTAAGCAACTTAGACCCTGTCCTAGATAGATAGATAGATAGATAGGTAGATAGATAGGGCTGGGGATGTGGCTCAGTAGTAAATTGCCTCTAAGTTAAGTCCTCAGTTTTTGCAGTATGAGGACTGCCTTATAAAAGGATTGTGATGGGAGTTATTATTTTTAAAATAGTCATATTTTCTTCAAAAAACAAAAAAAATGGAGGAAAAATAATCTCAAAATTCCATATTTGTCAGGCCTGTGTATATAATATACCTTTGAACAAATAACAAAATCCCTCTTATCTTTTTTGAGCTATCATAACACATGTGAACAAAGTAATCAAAACACCAAACTCTAACACCAACATTTAATACTCGAACCTCAAGACAAAGCTTAGGCGCAAAACTCTACCTTGGTCTCATAAAGATTTTAGCTGCCAGATCACAAAATGAAGCTGCTGTTACTAACTCAAGAAGACAGTTCCTGCTATGGCAATGTGAGGCCACTTACAGCAACGCATACAAAGGATTTTAACCTTCAACACAACCTCAAATTGTGGAAGCTCAATTTGTGTGGGGAATCAACAACAAACATTATTTTCACTTTCCCTCTGTTTAAAACAGGAGATCTCTTCTCTAACCACCTTCATATTCCAAAAGGATGGCAACTGCCACTTCCAAGTAGGACTACCACTCTCAAAACCCTGAAGTAGCCATCCTAAACAGGAGGATCATTCTTGAACTCAATTTTAAAAAAATGACAGATCTCATTTTCTATTGTGCTTATAATTTAAATTAGATAATAAAATCCTTAGACTTTTTTTTTTTCATAAAGGAAGCAACACTAACGCAAATCTTTCCATCAGATCAGCCAGGCCAAATTACCTAAGCAAATGTTAGCCTGCAGAATTCTATTCTCTGAATATCTTGAAAAAGACATTTCAATCTTTATCAGAGTCGCTCTCAAATTCAGTCTCTTGTTTTGAGTTACATTTTTTATTATTATTGTTTTCTTGTGTGTGTGTGTGTGTGTATGTGTGGGTGGTATGGGGATCAAACCAGGCCTCATGCATGATGGGTGAGCACCCTACCTCTGAACTACACCCCAGCCCCAGGGTTGTATTTTAGAAAGCCTGTGACTTACAAATGAGTATATCTAATCCAAACCAGTGTGGCCAGTGGCTCTGAAGTTTAATCTTTACACTATACAAGTGTGATTTTAAAATTAGGAGACCATGAGCCTGAGCGACCAAAAACAGCTGAGACTGTAACTTTTCTTTGGAACTTCATTCAGGAAAGAAGTAGCGTAAAGCAGGCTAAAGTGAGATGAGCACACCTTGCCCAATCTTTTTTTTCTGCCCTGTAGTGCAGGAAACTACTGAGGCTTACCTATTCTGATAGCTGTAGTAGGCTGCATCTCGAGGAATGGTACACAGCTGCTTTCCATAGCAGCACAAAGTCTGTGGGGAAAACTCATACTGCAAAAACAAAGAGAAAACACTAAAAATAAATTCCATTTACCATCCTGAAATGTTCTAGTCCATTGTGGAGAGTTATAAAAAGCCATTAAATTATTTGTTAGCATACTGAGTAATTTCTAATAATTTTCATAGCTATTTGAAGAAATTTTGGGATTAAATATGACCATTAGTGTAACCTGGCTCCGAAACAAGTATTACAGACAGATGAAATGAGCAGCAGGCAGCCAGAAAGGTGTCACCCAAGGCTTCCTCACAACCAAGCACTCTAGCCTTGACTATGTTATCACTTTAGGCAGTCAACTGTGCTACAAAAGACCAGGTGCTCCTGTGAGTTTCTAGCACATGTGTGGTCAGAATGCCAAGTCTCCTCAGTATAACACCCCAGGCTTAATTAACCAGGAAAGTTTATTTTCTGAAAAACCTAAGACTGTACCTTGCGTCCACAGCAATATCCAAGGGACTGCATGACAGGGTCAATTTCTTGCTCAAAGACCTCTGCAAGTTTACTGCAAAACTTATAGACACGGGATGTCTTGCGGTTGTAGAGCCAGGCATTATTGAACATGAGCCAGACATCATCCACATACTGCCAGGGCTCCTGATACTGCCCTGTGTCCAGCTTCCGCTTGATAGTAGAGAGGTCCATGGGATTCTTCACAATGTCAAAATAATCCTTAAAAATAAAATGTTCTTAGTCTAGTGGATCCTCCAAATTTTAAGTGCTAACCTCATCTGGCAGCTCTATCTATCTATCTATCTATCTATCTATCTATCTATCTATCTATCTATCTATCTATCTATCTATATCTATCTATCTATCTATCTATCTATCTATCTTTCTATTTTTTAGCTATAGTTGGACATGATACCTTTATTTTATTTATTTATTTATATGTGGTGCTGAGGATTAAACCCAAGGTCTACGTGCTAGGCGAGCATCTACTGCTGAGCCACAACCCAGCCCCTGGCAGCTTTATCTTAAAATATAATAAATACAAAAGTACCAGAATAACTTTCATTCTCAATAGTAAGAAATGAAATGATAATCAATTCCTTCAATATGATTCATTAAAATTATACATATTTGAAGTGTAATCAAATCACTTAAAAGGAAAACTTAAGAAAAAAAATAAAAGGATTGTTTAATAAAAGATTTTTTAATAAAAAATTTTAAGTGAGGATTTTTAATTCACTGAATTAAAATGATGAACAAAAGTGTACTTCTAGATGTTCACTAGGTCCTAGCACATAGAATGCAGTGGTAAACTGATAACCATAGTTCAATAGAACCTGTTTGATCCCCGTGAACTTTGGGGGGCTTTCCAGGGATATCAAAGAGGGATAGGTATATATTTCATAACTTATGTCCTCCAATTCCTGTGTTTTGTGGTGCTGGGGATTTAACTCAGGGCCTCACACAGGCAAGGGGACACTCTCCCACTAAGTGGCACCCAAGCCCATATTCTCCAGTGCTTTAAGACAAATCTTACACAAAGCCCCAAATACAAAGCAAGACCTTGGGCATCTTGAGGTAGAGTGAGTGGATTCGGGGCCCAGTGCATGACCCAGACCTGGGATTTCATGGACAAGTGAGACTGTATGAAATAAACACTTCCATAGGTAACTGCTGACAGGTAACAGTTTTCACTATTAGGAGAAACATCTTCAAAGAAAGGAGGATATTTTACCCAACTATCAGAGATAAAACAACAGATGCTCAAAGATATAACATATTTTTATTGTGTTAACTTACTGGAATTCCTAGGAGCTGGGGATCTACAGGCTGCCGAAAAGGTAAGGACTCTGGGTCCTGTCGATAGAGCGCTTCTAGGGTTGGCATAAGTGCCTGGCGTAGCTCCTCAGGTTTGAAAACTGCAGGTAGAACACCAAACAGACATATGTAACAGCTGCCCAGACCTCTCTGAGATAACATTTAAAATGGAAACCAAAGCAGCTTCTATCTCCCGGCCACACATCTGAGGCATTGTGGGAGCTCCCAGGAATCAACCTAAGAGTCCACGGACAAAATGTCAAACTCAGGGCTTCTGGAAATATAGTAACATTAGGGTTTTAAAAAACTGCATTCAGGTTGTGAGGCAAAATACAACACTGGGTGGTTTGCTTCTTTAACAACAGGGTTTCCAATCTTAAAATTTTTTTTGGAATAGAAAACAAAGTTACTCCCACATCTGTTTCATTGATCAAACTGGTAAATAAAGCCAATTCATTGAAAGAACCTTTAAAAAAAAATCCTGATGAGACTTTTCTATCCTTGGCTATATTAAATTGAGGCCACCTAAGACCAACAGTTCTGTATTATAATCTCATTTAAAAGATGTATACAGTAATTGGGCTACAAAATCAAGTATTCTCTCAAAAAAGTTCCATACTATTCTAACCCACATTTACCAATGCCCACTGCTCCAACCCTATAGCCACTGCATTCCTACTGTACCTTTTGGTATTGGGGAATGAATTCAGGGGTACCCTACTACTGAGCTACATCCTTCAGTTCTTCTCCCTCCTTGCCTTTTAGAGACAGGATCTCATTAAGTTGCTCAGGTTGGCCTCAAATTTTCGATCTTCCTGCCTCAGCCTCTGGATAACACCATGTCCAGCCCCACCACAGCTTTTGTTGTCACTAATACAAGAACAAACACTGCCAAATACTTTAAGGTGGTATGTTCATACAAGATCCACATGGGTCTGAATATTACAGGCAACTCAGTGCATGAGGCAGATGAGTAAACAGTAAGCAAGTCATCATCCTGTCTGAATCACAGAACCTCTTTTACACAGAAAAATGGTCAAAGGCAACTGTGTTGAAAAAGTTACGAGGAAACAAGTTCTTAAGTAATGCAAATTTTCTTCTTTGTGTTTTCTGTATCTTGAAAATATTTTCTAGACAGGTACAATGGCATGTGTTTATAATCCTAATTGCTCAGGAGGCTGAAACAGGAAGATTGCAAATTCAAGGCCAGTCTCAGCAACTTAGCAAGACCCTGACTCAAACTAAACAACCTAAAACCACTGGGGGTGTAGTTCAGTGATAAAGCACCCCTAGGTTCAATTTCTAGCACCCCCCCCAAAAAAAACCCCAAAATATTTTCTACAATAGATACATGGTAAACTATAATTTAAAAATCCAGTGCAAGTTACAAAGATCCACTCTCTGTGCTCACAGTCAGTCAGTCAAGAACACCATCCAAGTGCTCATCAACTGCCACAACAAGAAGAAAGCCCTGGGTGGTGTGAAGGCTTTTGAAAGGCATTGCAACGTAGTGCCAGAGAACATGAAGGAGATGTGGACCTAGGTCCCTAAGAATGGCAAGGGAAAAAGTCCAAGCCAGTCAACAAAGACTTCTACATCTCCAAGATGTTTCTGCACCGGGACTCTGTCATAGCGGTCCTGCAGAACCTTCTCATCACTGGCAAGTAGGGGGTCCTCCCCACTGTCAGAACTTGCTGCCCTGTACTGTGAAGGTCTGCCCTTTGTGATCAAAATAATAAAGTCCTGTGTTTAAGAAAGAGAAAAGAAAAAAAGTCAGATCTAAAATACTGTGAACATTTAAACTTCCAGCGAGGCAGAGGCACATACCAGGTCCAGGAGTCTATCATTTTTCTGAGGGGAGTCTAACTTGTTAATTCTGGAAAGCACCACCTGATTTCCAACAAGCGAAAGTCAAGGCAAAAGGTTAAAGGAAAAATCCATCTCAACACCTCTCAATTTAGAGATGGAAACTCCATGGTCCAGGAGTTTCCCCAGAGCTGATCCCCTGAGGAGCCAGGGACCCACTAGTCTCCTGAGCACCTCAGCAAATGTTGACTCCTTTTCCAGGACATCTGGCTGTTTTAGTCCTTGGACTGCTGCTCAAGGACCAGGTGAGCATGGTAAAGGCCCAACTGCAGCACTCCGCATGCACACACTGCCAAGCGCTCTACCACAGCATAAAGGCCTGATCTAGTAAGATTTGCCATCCAGCAGCCTCGGAGACACGTGCACATCTTTGCTCTTCACTAACCCTTTTGTTCTATACCATTTTTATATGGAAATAAGGAAGCAATTGGTATTTTTTGAACAACTCATAATTATTAGGACACGATTAATAATTTTTTCATTCTTCAAGTTTCAGAGTTGGCAAATTATGACCAAGAGGCCTAATCTGGCCTGTTGCCCAATATATGTGAGTTGAGTGCTAAGAATGTATTTGCCTGTTGTAATGACCAGAATATTTCCTGACGTGAAAATTACATAAAGTTCAAGTTTTAGTCTCCAGAAGCAAAGCTTTATTGGCACAAAACCACATTCTTGCATTGGTATGTTTTCTGTGGCCCGCTTTTGTACAATAGCTAAGTTCAGTAGTTTTAGTAGAAAAACTGAAATATGCAAAGCTGAAATACAAAACTTTTTTTTTTTTTTTTGAAACTAGGGATTAATCCCAGGGGTGCTTTACCACTGAGCCATATCCCAAGCACCCCCCACCCACATTTTAAAAATTCTCAGATGAGGTTCTCACTAAATTGCTCAGGGCCTCGCTAAATTGCCCAAGTTAGCATCAAACTGGTGATCCTCTGGCCTCAGCATCTTGAGTTGCTGGGATCAAACATGCATCATTACACCCAGCACAATGTGCCTTTTTACAAAATAAAAAGTGTCTTCTACTCTTGACTCTGGACCATGTCATCTCCCTAAGGTGATTTAAAAAGTGATATGGCCTTGCTGGGCAAAAAAGGCGCAAGCCTCTAATCCCAGCTACTTGGGAAGCTGAGTAAAGAGGTCAGCCCTACAACTTAGCGAGACCCTGTCTCAAAAAATTAAAACAGAGACAGAGCTATAGCAGAATTTGCTTAGCATGTGTGAGGCCCTGGGTTCAATTTCTAGTATTAAAAAAAAAAAAAAAAAAAGAAAAAAAAAAGGGCCTTCACTGGGCAGCATTCTGGTTGATCATTCATTCCATAACTATATAAAACCTATACTGAGGAAAACATTTGCACACTCCTGTCTCCAAATGGGCTGAATGAGAAATATCAGGAGGACTTATTAGTTTGTGTGTCATAAATGAGTCATCCTGCTTCTCTGGCCTCAAAGCCTCCATTCAGTGAGGATAGTGCACCATACCCAAAGTTCTCACAAAGTATGGCTCACAGACTCCTGGAAGACCCTCCATGTTGCTTAAAGTGATAGTCACCAGCCACAAGAGATTACTGAAATTTAAATGCATAAATTAAGTAAGTAATTTAGCTCCTCAGACACCGTTGTCATGTTCAAGTAGTCAAGAGCCACATGTGGCTGCTGGTCACCATAAGAGAGAACACAGATTTGTAACACTGCTGTTACTCCAAAAAGTTCTAGCATTGCCATTTTAGGTGTCTGTGAGATCAAAACTATTTCTTTAACACAAAAGTGCCCTGTGTTGACATTCACACAAGTGAGTCAAACTCAACAGAGAATAAAACAGCTAACATTAAAAAAATCTTTTTTCTGTTGCAGATAGACACAATTTTTTTTTTTTAAATTTACTTTTATGTGATGCTGAGGATTGAACCCAGTATCTCACAAATGCTAGGTGAACGCTCTACCACTGAACTACAACCCCAGCCAAAACCAGCTAACATTTTGGCAAGGCCAAAATAAAAAAAAAGAAAAAGAAAAACCAAAAGTAAAAAAGGCAACAACACCAAACTCAGGGGTCACTACATTCTTTGTGGCCACCCTGCACTCACAGGAAAAAGAATGCCAGCCATTCGAGATTACTCTGGATGAGGCAGAAAAGTGATTATTCTTACTATATCTCAACCTCTGACACACCCTAGTTCTGTGTGATGTAACAGGAAGTCTGCACAACATAAGTGCTGCTCGCAGGCCAACTTCAGAGCTGCACCTGTGCCAGTGGCAGGCTGAGCTGAAGGAGCTGCTTTTTCTCATGGACACACACACCCTGCAAGAGCAACAGATACACAAGCTCTGGTTATTGGGTTCTGGTGTGTGGCAGGCATTTTCTCAAAAACAAACTAAGACAGCCAGTTATTTCAAGGATAAGTGACAATATTGAGGCTTTCATCAAAAGTTTAGAATTTTGAAAAACTTGTATCTGTCACATGAGCTTGACACTTCCCAAAATTTATAAAATCTGAAGAGGTTGGTAACATTAAAGAATGTGGTCTTTTGCTTTTGTGGGTTTTTTTTTTTGGGAGGGTGAGTATGTGTATATATATATATATATATATATATATATATATATACACACACACACACACATATATATATATACACACACACACACACAAACTACATTCCCAGCCATTTTTAGTTCTTATTTTGAGACAGCGTCTGGCTAAGTTTCCCAGGGTGGCCTTAAACTTGCAATCCTGCCTCAGTTTCCCGAGACACTGGGATTATAGGGATATGCCACTAAACCTGGCCTTTTTTATTTTTTAATTATAGAATGAAGTATGTCAAAACTGGGAAATTCTACACAATGAACCAATACTTCTCAGGTGACCAGAGGATGATGTCACACACACAAATTGAATGTGTATTCTTTGAATACACAGACCCCCATGAATCCTGATGGCACAGGCAGAGTTCAAAAAACCCAGTGCTAAGGATTCTACACTGCAACTCACCTTCAACAAATGTCCACTTTTTGGTGTAGTGTTAAAGGATACCCACCATTACCTGAAAAGCTATGAAAACTGAGTCTCCCTTCACTAATGACTGATCAGACAGGGACTGAATTTTTTTCCACACAGTTCATCCCAACCATGTACCACAGCAGTGAACACAGGGTACATCTATGAATCCAGCTGGGTTCCTTTAACCCTTTTCGAAACATTGCAAAATTATAAAATAATGTCACTTTTCTATTTGTATTTTTCATAAAAATGCATTGACTGGCATAGGTTATCACACACTGTTTGTTGGGAATTAAAACTTTCATAAAGATGCATTTTAATGAAAGTTTTAATTCCCAACAAACAGTGTGTGATAACCTATGCAATCTAAAACTCTCTTGGGGAGGAGATACAGAGGCCTAGGGTCTGCTGTCCTCCACAATTCAGGTCCCTTCCGGCCGTGAAGCTCCATGGTTTCAGCTGCTGACACTTCTCTGCAGTTTTTCCCAAATGTGACATTCACCACCCTCAACTATCTCCCATTGAGAAGGGTCACTTGCCAATTTTCCAACTCCCTGTTACCTCCTTGCTCTGGATACATCTTAAGGGGGTTGCATCCACCTTCTACTGCATGGCTGACTCATCCCGAAAGCTTCTTAACCCCTCCTACCTTCCCATCCTGCAACATCAGGTCCCTAGGGCTAAGCAGCCCCTCTTCTCCACTGCCCCAATACTGTGTACGCACTTCCCTCATGAAGTCAGCAGAAACCTGCCATCTCCAGGCCACCCTTATGTTGCCAGTAATCATTTTCCGAAAACCATAGCTATTTTGCCATTTTTCTAGATTCTTCATTGGTTTAATACCTTGACAAGAACCCACACTCATTACCCTGCTCAAAGACCCAGAGGCATTTTCAACTCTAACCCCTGTCTGTAACACATCACCTCAGGAGACAGTTCTGTGTTCTGCGATGCCTCCCCAGCTGTGTCCTGTCTTGCATTCATACCATAAACTCTGTGCATTCTCGTGGCTCACTGTTGCTATTTCTCAGAGGTAAAACTTAGGGAACGGGAAGCAAGAAGATAAAAGGGAACATGGAGTTATTCTGCTCTAGTTCTCAGTCCTTAATATGGAAGCTCAGTGTAATGGAAGGCAACATAGACCAGCAATTTAATGAAAACACAACCTACTCTTTTTGCGTGGCTGCGAAGGGGACGTTGACTGAGAGGAGGCACCATTAGCGTTGCTCTCTTCTTCCTCTTTAACCTCCACTTTCACTTCAGGTTTCTTCTCATCTACTTCCATTGGTTCTGGCTTCTGTTCTGCTGTGTCTGTTTCTTCTTTAACTTGGGAAGACCCTTGTAAATCCTCCTCCATCATCTTAAGAAAAACAGAATCACAGCTAGTAGATCAATCCCCAACCTCACGCAGATCTCCTGATGTCCATGGCTCAATGCACCCTTCCCAGGCCCAGGTGCATTCAGCGTTCCTTTCCTCCCCCAAGGAAGTGTTTGGTTTCTACTGAGTCCCTTCAACACAGGACCAGTGCAATTATAGTCCTAATTGAAAAATTTTAAACGTGAACAGTACTTGTATTTTCACACATAGGTATTTCTAGTTTAAAATAAGTATCTTTGAAAACTGGGAAGGGGTCAAAAGCTCTTGCTCAGAGGTAGAAGGTGTGGTATGAGACAACAAGGAGCAGTGGAGACTAGCTAGCTAGAAAGCCCATGACCCACACAAAGGGTTCATCCAGATCAGGGCCCACATCCAGACTGTTGCCACACAAGGCTGTAAGCACAATGACAACATAGCTAGCTGCTCAGTTCTCAAGTCAGAAAGCTAGAATCTTCTTTGTAATTTCCTGATTTTTAAAATACTACAGAGGCTAAACAAAACTCACAAACAGACTAGATTTGGCCCACAGATTAACTAGTAAGTAAACCCCCACCCTTCCTGCAAAACTAGAAATGAATGAGGAAAACCAACAAAAAGGTTGGATAATTCAAATGTTTAAAATGTAAGCCAGTACTCTTCATTTCTGGCAAAGTAAGATAAACCCACACCTCATATTTTAGAAAGAACAACCAATCTCTTTTGAACTCATATTTAAACAGATTAAAACAAAATCGGTCTGGGAATATAGTTCATTGGTAGAGTGCTTGTCTAGCACACATAAGAGCCTGAGTTCGATCTCAGCACTGTAAGCAAACATAACAATAGCAAACTCCAGAGATACCGATGAGGAAGGATTCCTGCACAAGAACATGTGGGATTTAATTCTAAGGAAAAACACCCACCTCAGACCGAGGCTCCCCCTTGGATTCAGCAGGATCAGGTTCAGTGTCCTCAGTCTGGACCTCCGTCTTCATTTCCAGCACGGGTACATCAGGCCCTGGCTGCTGGGAGTTTGTTTCAGCACTGGCCACTGAAGACGGGGTGGGAACCCTGTTATCAATGCTAGTTGTTGCCTGAGAAAGCTGTGAAGAAACCAAAATCATTCATCTCTATAAAGAGACAACACAAATGGCCTTCAACTCTGTTGCTCATCCGATCCCCAACTTCTTGTTACCATTTCTCACTACTAACCTAAGAGGCACATACCAAGAGAACTAATTGAAGTTACCAGGAGGAAGCTCTGGTTAGGAAGATAGTGACAGAACAGATCTAAGTTCTAATATAAAATTATTTTCTCCAAATTTTTTTTAGCAAGGTGCCAAAAAAACAGCATAAGAGCCTGAGTTCGATCTCAGCACTGTAAGCAAATGTAACAATAGCAAAATCCAGAGATATCGATGAGGAAGGCTTAATCCCCATATCAAACAAAAATTATTTATTATAAAGGGAGGGTAATTTGCTATTGCAAGCAGGATATCCAATGGGCCTGTATTCATTGTAGAATGATGACAGTGGTGGAATAGGAAAACACTAGGAAGGAACCACAAAGCATTCTAAATTTTCAAAATCTTGGGGCTAGGTTGTAGCTCGTTGGCAGAACATGTATGAAGTATATATGAAGATAGTATGTGTGAAGCGCCAGGTTTGATCCCCAACCCTTACCCGACAAATGAATAATTTTTTAAAGTCTTACCCCAATGAAATTGCAAGTAAACAAGCAAAAGACACCAAAAAATTTATAAGAAGATTATTTAGGAATTGGGGATGGCATTCATAAGCCTCTGGGCTCAATACCCAGAACCATAAAAACATAACAAAATTAATACTTTTTTAAAAATATTTTTTAGTTGTAAATGGACACAATATCTTTTATATAAAGATATAAAAGTATATGTGTGTGTGTGTGTGTGTGTGTGTGTGTGTGTGTAGGTGTGTGTATATATGTTTGTTGTTGATGGACCTTTATTAATTTATTTATATGTGGTGCTGAGAATTGAACCCAGTGTCTCACATGTAATAGGTAAGCACTCTGCCACTAAGCCACAATCCCAGCCCCACAATATCTTTTCATATATTTATTTTTATGCGGTGCAGAGAATTGAACCCAGTGCCTCACACATGTGAGGCAAGTGCTCTACCACTGAATTACAGCCCTAGCCCCACAAAATTAAAATCTTAAGAAAAATAAGTACACGTTCCTATGGAGAAATAGAAATAATAATGTCATCTTTGGAATTGTTGCTGGGATTAATCCTCTATTTAATAAACAAATATCCTTGGCACCTAAGAATAAAGTTAATGTATTTTGGAAGGTGACAGATTTAATTTAGTCTGTAAGAAAGTGATAGTAAGCTTTCAGTGAAAACTTGAGAGCCAGATGTAACAATGACAAGTGCCCTCTTGAGGCACCCAGGTCAGTGGAGGCAACCCTGCCTAGAAGGGCATCTGAATTGGCATTTTCTGAGGCCTGGGATGCAGCAGGCAGACATAATCATGTCCCTGCCACCTTTGCAGATGAATGGGAAATTCTGAGCCATAAGAGGTACAAGTCTGGCTCTGCCACTTTGTTATGAAAAAGAAAAGTCTTCATTAGACTGAAAAAAATTTGATGGGAGGATGCCAGGTCATAAAATTAGGAGTATGACTTGCTTATCAAATCCTCAGAACAGCAGAAAAACTATAACAACTCAGAAGACAGTAATCTAGGACAGATAAGGGGAAACACTCTGGATCTGTGTATAGGTTAAAGATTCTACATATGACCTGGGTATGGTATCTCAATCATTAATGATTTCTGCAAACTCCTTTAATTACGGGGGGAAACATAAGTCTTGTTCTGCATACACAGCGTTTGGTGCCAATGCTGGAAACAAAGCACAGCTTGTGACAGTTCCATTGGGGTACAGGTGCTTTCTGGTACTGCACCAAGATGGAGTAGCAACTTCATGACAGAAAATTCTTATGGGAGAGTATCTTCTAAGATTCTTGGCCTTAAGACAACAGATTAGAGAGGCTCACCGGAGTGCCAGGTGGCTGAGCATGCACAGGTGTTGGTTGCTGCTGCGATGACTGAGGGGTGGCCACAGATGGGGGCTGAACTGGGGTCTGAGGCTGTGGGGTCACCTGGGCCTGGGCTGCTGCCTGGACTGTGGGGGTGCTTTGGGTTTGGGCAGCACTGGGTACTGAGCCAGGAGTTGGGGTGGGAGTCTGCCCAGAAGATGACGCGGGAGTGGATGGCTGAGTGGGAGCTGCTGGCTGGGGAGGCGTCATCCCAGGTGGCGTCGGGTGCTGAAGAGATGGCATGCCAGCAGCTGTGGATGCAGGAGGGGGCGTCGGGTGCAACGGTGACTGCGTCACTGGTGGGCAAGGCAGCTGGTTGGCCTGGGGCCCCAACATGTTCAGAGCATTAGGGATAGCAGCACCAGGCACCTGGCCCTAAAACAAATAGAGAATGTTAAAACCAATGGGACAAGAGACTGAAAAATCGCTTATATAAAAATTTAATCATGGTTTCTTAACAAGGCCTGCAAGCTTCATAGGAATGTTCCATTTGTAAAAATTCATCAAGTTGTATACTTATAGTCATGTGTCCTTTTAAATAAAATTAATGCTATGAATGTTTCTCATACTGTAAAATTTTTGGCTTAAACAAACATACATCCAATCACTCAGTTTATTAGTTTCATGCCCCTTAACATCTACTCATAGCTTAGGACATGGAAAAGTTAATCCTCTTTTTTTTAAAAAGTGAGTTATTAAAACACTAAAACTTTTGCGTAGCAGCTCTCAACTCCTCAACCCAGGAGACACATCAGAATTATTTGTAGATGAAAGAAAGAAGAAGGGAAGGCGGAAGGGAAGGGGGAAGGGAAGGGGGAAGGGGAAGGGGAAGGAAAGGAAGAAAGAAATCTAATCACTGTTCTAGAGCAGAGGTTAGCCCAAATGCAGTTGGCTGCTTGTTCCTGTAAGTCAATTTTTAATAGAAAGAACCATAATTGTTCATTTATGTGCTTTTTTTTATGGAAGCTACTTCACTACAACAGCACAGATAAATAATTAAAACTAAGACTATGGTACAGAAAGATGAAAATATTCACTCTCTGGCTCTGTACACAGAAAAGGTTTATTGATCTCTATTCCAGAGCAATAAGATGTTATGAAAATTTTAAAAAATGGTCATTATATAGTAAATACATCTACTGTATTCAAATTACTCAACATTACTTCATATTAAAAAAAATAAGATGTGAATTTTATCTTTTAGGAAAGATCTGACCTGTTTAAACACATATACAAGTTTTGTATACAGTAGTAATCTGATGCATTACAATTAACAAAAGGGGGAGAGGAAGCAGTAAAAAGAAAATAGTTGTCTTCAGCTTTAGATTGAATAATTAAAAACATGTTCAGCAAGAAGTGAGCTACTCCAATGATTCTGTTAGCTTGACATCCCCCAGGCAGTGAGAGACAGGCAGCAAGATACATAAACTAAATCACTAAAAGTAAACTCATCCCTTTAAAAAACCCCAGTGTCTCTCAGGATCACATGTTAATCTTAGATTTTAAAAACCACAAAACAAATTAACAAAACCAAGAAAACCACCCCAAACTCAAAGATCAAAACATAAAACACATAAGCCAAAAAATCACACTCCAATCTACTATTTGCATGAAGTTCACCAAGAAAGGACAAGAGGAATTCCAAACAAATTAAAAAATACTGGATAAACAAGGAAAAAATGAAGAGATGCTGATACATGAAAACTAATATTCTAGAATTTGAATTTCCAATAAATAAGACTGCTTCACACTGCAGGGAAGCTGGAGCTAAATGGATGTCAGTAGCCAAGGTCCCCATAGTAAACATACCTGTGACACAGCTGTCTGGGCAGCTGGCTGCCCCATGCCCACACTGTTCACACTCATGGCCCCACTGGAAGATGGGAACTGGTTTTGTGGAAGAAACTGGTTCTGAGTGGGTGCCTGGGCCATCATGTTGTTGGCGTGTGCACCCATCATGTTGGGGGGCTGAGGCATCCGGGAAGGAGAAATGGCCATCTATAAGATAATAAGCATTCAGAGAGCTGCAATGCAGACGGTATGGAACACGGTTTTCCAGACAAACAAAGCAACCAGAGAACCAAGGGCTTACAGAGTGCAGAGCACATAGCTTCAGTCCTGGAGACTGCCACTAGGAACCCTCCTAGTTCACAGGCACTTTTCCTCGCCTTCTCAAGTAGTCTCTCAAATGAGCCAACTTCAAATTGTCCTACAAGCAGCAATCAATAGCATGCCAAGCTCAAACATGCCTTTTATTAGTTCAGTAAAGTGTTTAGAGAGCAGCCTCAGGAGAGCAAGCTCAAGTCAACAGACACCGGCAATCTCTGTCTGGCCACCTATCTGAGGATGGCTGCCTGCTCACTTTCAGAGCACCTTCCTTCTTACAAAACCAGGTATTTCTATGAATGTTATTCCAATAAAAATAAGTAACAACCAAATAATCTTCAATGTCATAACAAAGATTTTAAAAGAGACAGAGATGTACGAAGTAAAGAATAATCCAAACTCCAAGGAACAGGTCCCACCATGTTCTCAAATGACACTTAGAATTCCCTACTCAGACAGCATTCCTAAAGAGACAAGGGTTGAGAGGAGGGGAGAAGCACTCACCCCTGGAACTGAGGCCATGCTGTTCATCTGGACAGAGTGGTTCATTGGGGAAGCTGCACGTGGACCCATGGGTGCTTGTGGCAACTGGACACTCCCCAAGGACATTGGGTTAAATGAATTCATCCCTGTAAACACACCCACAATGCACTCTCAAGAAAACAGAATTACAACTTCTCAAGTAAAGAAAATAGAACACATAGACAACATAAGACAACCAAGAAGAACTCACTCAGCTAACCAGAGAAGACAGTTAAGAAAGCAACTTCTCTACACTTAGGGAAATGGCACACATGTGGCATGAGAGAGTGGGATGGTAGGGAGAGCTGGGCAGAACAGGAGATGAGAATAGAAGGCTAGGTAAAGACAACAAAGGAACAAACAAGAGCTGATGTGCACAAAGCAAAAAAGCAGGTTAGGGGGCACCGCAAAGGAATCCATCTATGTAGGGAACATTTCCTGAATCCAGGGCCAGCATCTGAGTGTAGCCTCACCTGACATCACTTGGAGCAGCTGGCTCCCATCTTCCCAGGATTTCAAGCTTCTTGGCTGGGTTTATATTCATTGTTAGAATCTACGCTAAGACTAAAAGCACTGTTTCAATACTTTATAAGCACTTTTAGTGTTCAGAAAGTGCCCAAGGGCCAGCAGGTCTTATACCAAGGCTCTGTCAGTTTGCAGAAACTCCAAGCCACTGACAAAGACTTCATTAGGCAGCAAGTATCTCCAGACCACAGTGGCTAGTTCTTACTAACTTCCGACAAAATTCTGCAAATTATGAGTTCTAAGTAAAGGTCAGCTCAAGAGATCTTCCACCAAACAATGGGATCTAAAAGAAACCTTGGAGGACTTTCTGCAGGCACTGCCTTGACACTGGTATAGCCGTGACAGGATCAAGAACATCTGTGTCTTGTACACTATCTTCAGCAACTACCCAAAAAGTGCCATCAAGGCCCATGAGGAATTCTAAAGGAGCCTATCATAAAAAAAAAAAAAAAAAAAATCCCTTCCTTGACAGAAATGAGAGAGAGAAAAAAATGGTCGGTATAAAGAAATAACCTCTAAAAAAATCCACATTTCCAAAGATCTGGGTGTGCTGGTAGGGAGGCCACTGGGTGCTCACCTAGAAAATGTCTTTCTCAGTAACCTTTAACCAGTGCCTCATGCGTGCTAGGCAAGTGCTCCACCACTGACCCACAACCTCAGCCCCCTTATTTATTTTTTAATTTTGACATTTTGACCAACAAGCTATACCATCATATCCAAAGCATGCAGACCAAAGGCCAGAGCATCCCAAGACAGCACATAGAGCTTCCAATTTTCTAAGCTCTAATTTTCAACGTTTTGATTTGATTCACTTTCATATCTAGTGCATACAAATGGGTCCCTGATGATTCTATCCTATGTCTGTTTCAGTATGTAGTAAGATTGCCATAGTTTTAAACAACCTTTCTCCTCTTCCAAACTACTCTGAGAGTAGTTTGCCTTGTAAACACTGCAACAAAGCCTCTTCCTTTAGAATCCAGATAACGTCACCACCTCATTTCACAACCTAGAGAAACAAGAACTGAAAGGCTTGCAAATGACTCCGGGCTTTGACTCCCCAAAAGAGACCACAGAATCCTCCTGACTTGAGAAAGAGCCTATAAGACTGTTCAGAAATATGCAACTATCTAAGCCTGCTGGGGCTTTCTAAACACAGGCTCCCGAAGCCAACATCCACCAGCCCACCTTAAACCCCACACCCTGGAGTGGTCAGTGCATGTTCCTACCCGACCTGCTGCAAGTACTCACCATCCCAGGGCTGGCTCTCACATGCTCTCCTGGCATTCGGAACTGCCTCTTCCCCCATGTAAAATGCTTCTTTTTTGTACTATCCCTAAGAGTAATGTCTAACCCCCCGCCACCCATTCATTTAAAGAAAGTTCTAAATCCTATAAAATAAATGATCTTTATTTTATTTAGTTAACTTTTATGTGAGGTTGAACCCAGTGCCTCATACATGCTAGGCAAACACTTTTCCCTAGCCCTCTAAATCCTACTTTTGATCTCTTTTGAGATCTTTGCTATAATTTCCAAACTTCCAACCACAACAAATTCACACTACCTGTAAAACTGAATTCTCATCAGCAAAATGAATGGAAAGAGTAAGAAAAGGTTACAAAGACACTGACAGAGAAAACGGAAAAGAAAAAAAAATGTGGCTACTAAAAGCTAAACTAAAATATGATAAGCAACAAATACTTAAATACCTTGAGAAACCTGCATGCGATTCAGGGGTAGGGGTCCATCTATAATGGCAAAAAAAGACAACTCTGGTTACTTAAAATAACCCTTGATTTAGGAGTCAGGAATTTTCTATGGAGGACTTCAAACATTAAGAGAAATAGTGAATGGGTCTCACAACACTTGCATTCTGATGCCAGGGCACCCTTTAAAGAGCCCTCCCCCAAGAGAAACTCAAACATCCCCACAGGCCACTGCCATACAAACAATTTCTGAAGTGAAAGTTTTGGAGAACATAATTCCAGTATTGAAATATACCCCAGACACAGAAGAAAAGCCAAGTGAACAGGCTAAGGGCTGGTGGGAGGAAATGCAGTCCTTACTTGGAGGTCTCACAGACTGGGCCGGTGGGATCACAGGGGGTTGAGCCCCAGGGGCAGGTAAAGCCGGCTGGTTACCCAAGATGCCTTGTTTATGTAAACGCGATCTCCGTTTTTCCTCGAGTTCTTTTTGTATCTTATAGATTTTCTCTGCTAATAAGTGATAGTATTCATCCTAAAAGGCAGTAACATTCAATATTAAGCATAAAAATAAATAAACAATCTATTTTGTTTTAGTGCAGGGATCAAACTCAGGGTCTTGTATATGCTGAACAAGTACCACAGAGCTACACCTCAGCCCAATTTTGGTGTGTTCAGGGGTGGTGGAGGGGGTACTGAGGATATAACCCAGGGGCACTTTACCACTAAGCTATATCACCAGCCCTTTTTATTATTTGAGACAGGGTCTCCCTAAGTTGATTAGGGCCTTGCTAAACTACAGAGGTTGACATTGAACTTGTAATCCTCCTGCCTCAACCTCCTGAGTTGCTGGGATTACAGGCATGCACCACCATACTCAGTTCCCAGCCAAATTTTTAAAGTATATTGACAAAGATAACTGTTCAACATGTCTGATAAATCACAGGGCCAAATTCTTTCTGAATTTCTAGTGATTTTATTGGACTTATCAAACAGGTCACTGCCATACAAACAATTTCTGAAGTGAAAGCTTTTGGAGAACATAATTCCAGTCTTTGAAATATATCCCAGACACAGAAGAAAATGTTGTTATATGTCATTGTACAATGGAGCCTCCACTTGGGTATTCACTGACTCAGGCAATAATATGACACAAGCATTATAAAGAACATCCACTATGAAAAGTATGTGCAAGGGATATTCTGTAATTGCACCCACCCCTTGAACCCCTGTAGATAGTGCTTGCAGTTAACAACAGTGTCATGCAGGAATCTCTTATCTGGATCTTCAAGGCGCAGGGTCCCCACACAAGTTCCCTCACTTCTGGACGATAACCAGACAGATGTAGCTCTCCCCACCGAAGGTGCTATGCAGGCATGGCTACTACCTGGTGACCTACCCTGCTGTTAGCAGACTCATACATGTCTCCCTCCACTTTCTTGGCATAGGCAACCAGGTTCTCCATGCGACGATCCTTCAGAGCTGCAGGGTCAGGGGTTGGGAAGATGGCTTGGACACTGAAAGAATAATATACTCTATCAACATCCTACTTTCTTTTTTTTCTTCCTGATGGTACTAGGGATGTAACCCAGGAATGCTCTCTCACTGAGTCAATTTTTTTCCCCACTGAGTCATTTAAAAAAAAATTTTTTTTTAGTTGTAGACAGATACAATACCTTTATTTAATTATCTTTATGTGGTGCTAAGGATAGAACCCAGTGCCTCATGCGTGCTAGGCAAGTGCTCCACCATTGACCCACAACCTCAGCCCCCTTATTTATTTTTTAATTTTGACATAGAGTCTTGCTAAATTGCCAAGGTTGGCTTCAAATTCGCAATCCTCCTGACTCAGCCTCCTGAGTCACTGGGATTACATGCATGTGCCACCATGCATGCCCATCCTCAACCTACTTTCAGGGTCACCACATGAAAACTACAAAACCAGGATGGGCTACCTGTGAGGGTAACACAGTGCTGAGAAACACCCCAAACTCTCACCTCACACATGAATAAGGGAAATAATCCTGACCTTCAACTTACCTACATGTCAAACACACCACTATTTTGCTGCATCAAATATGTGCAGAGTCATTTCATGAATAACATGATTTCAAGTCAATCCCAAATAACTAAAGGCCAATGCTCTCTCTGATATGTGGATGCCAAATTCACAGTAAGGTGGGGGTGGGAACAGAGGTATTCTGGACCAGACACAGGGGAGGGGGCATAGGGGTAGGAATGATAGTTGAATGAATCAGACATCATTACCCTGTGTGCATAAATGATTACATAACTTGTGTAACTCTACATCATGTACAACTAGAAGAATGAGAAGTTATACTCCGTTTATGTATGATATGCCAGAATGCATTCTACTATCATGTATAAATCATTAGAACAAATAAAAAGCATATATATATAAAAAGAACAACATGATTTCAAATTCCCAAGCTTTAACACCTATTTATTACAAAAAAACATGATCAAAATAAGAGAGGAAAAACATTCAAAGGAATCTAGTTGATTAACTTCACCTTCAACTTAACTAGCTTTAAGATAGTGGATGGTCATGCTATCTATACTCAGCAGGTCCAAATTCCTCCCAATTCTCAGAGGTCCTTTTTTTTTTGTACTGGGGATTAAACTCAAGGGCACATTACCACTGAGAGAAGTCCCTCCTCTTTTTATTTGAAACAGGGTCTCCCTAATTTGCTTAAGGCCTTGCTAAGTTGCTGAGGCTGGCCTTGAACCTGTGATTCTCCTGCCTCAGCATCCCAAATCGCTAGGATTACAGGTGTGTGCCATTCCACCCAGCTATAAGTTTAATTTGAGCCACAAAAAAGGTAAAGCTCTTGAGCTAATCCTCAGAGCTCAGAGGTAAGGAAGCCGTGCTATAGTTCTTGCCCCTCTGCTATCTGATGCTTCTGCTCACTGGGGACCAAAGATCTGTGAAACCCAGCATGCCCAAGGAAGCCTGGGTGGGGGGTGGCTTTTTAAAACAAGCATGTGATCCTTCTATAGTTCTGTCACCTGAGACCAATGGGAAAATAAGAAATAAAAGCAGACATCTATAAAACTGCAAAATTACAATGTTGCCTTCAGCCACAAAATGTAAATGGGGTGGTCGTGGCAGGGGTGTACGGATGGATGGATACATACAGTTTATGCACTAGATGGCTCCGAAGGTCCTGAGTGACATGTTCATGCCAGCCTTTCCGAACTCCAGTGCTGGAAGGAGGTGCTGCTGCAGGTATCGTGCTGAGGTTTCCGATGTTGCCAGAGTTTGAGCCATCGTTTATCAGTGGGCTAAGAAGGACACACATCTAGCTATTCAAGAGATTCAAAGGCTTTCCATCTCAGCAAAATATAACTTTAAAGTTAGGAGAAGCAAGGAATGTATAAACAAAACTCAATTTATGCATAATTGATTCTGTTCCACATTTATAATTTTAAAGGGAGAGAAAAATGCAATTCACCCCCCACCACCCCATTAAACAATCTTCCTCTCTACCACATGCTGAGAAAGGCCACACAGTTGTGTGTGAGCCCTGCCCACTCTCGTGCCCATCTGTCCTTCAGATTAAGAGCTAACCGAAACCTGGGTCTTACTTGGTGGCCCCCAGGGAAGCTGGAAGAGCAGATTCTGAAAGCAAATTTGGCTGCTGATCTGTTGTTATTCCTCCTGCTGGAATGTTCATCGGGTTATTTCCTTTAAAGACAAAGAGAAAAAAAGTCAATTAACTTCTAGATTATAACATACATTTCTAAGTTCTAAAAACAAACAAGTCACCACATCAACAAGTGATTCACACGAGTCACAGGAACACTGGGAGCTATATTTTCAGTAATGGTGAGCAACTCCTACAAATTCTGTTATTTTCTCACTCTGTAACCAAAATAAGACACGTTAAGGAGGCTGGATGTTGTTCTAAGTGTACCCTATGGCTGTAGGGAAAAACTATAAATGGCCCATTTGCAGACTCCAACTTTGATGTTTTATTAATGTTACACCCTAGACAATTAAGATAACTCAGTCATATCTTTGGTCATTTTCTTTTGGGGGAATTATCAGAAAATAAAATCACAAATTAAATATAGGAGAAAAATATAGAAGGCCAATTTAGCTTCAGTCTTCACATGAAAGTAAGAAAAAGTTGAAATTTGAAGAGCGGTTAATAAAATTGTCAAAAATTACACTATTTGTAGAAGTGGGATCAGAACAGAACTTGGGTTGTTCTTGAGTCTTTTATCTAGTCTCCAGGCCAGTATTATATTTGATAGTCATTAAGGAAGCTGTTTTAAAAAATGCAACATAGGAGATGATTTTAACTGATCATGTGGAGAATCATTTTTTGAGTCTTAAAACTCTTGTTCTGGGGCTGGGGATGTGGCTCAAGCGGTAGCACGATCGCCTGGCATGCACGGGGCGCTGGGTTCGATCCTCAGCACCACATAAAAATAAAATAAAGATGCTGTGTCCACCGAAAACAAACAAACAAATAAATAAATAAAAACTCTTGTTCTGCTGGGAAGAGGCTAGCCCAACTGCCTGCCTTCCCAGGCAGCACTGCTCATGTAGCCTAAGCCTGAGATTAAAAGCACTGTGGTCATTTGGAGAAAAACAGTAAGGAAACAATATGCAGAAATGGTAACAACTGTGGAGATGTGTGAGCAAGATACTGAAGGCTGGCAACTCATAGGCTGGAGTGACAAGAAGCTGGTAACAGGAGATCCAGTCAGAAGTTTGACGGTAGAGTAGAATTTCTGAGACGCCTGTTGCTGACCAGTCCAAGTACAGATTGGTTAATTCCAGAGGTGGGTGAACCATGGTTAAGATGTGCCAGGAAGTGTCCATAGTAAGTTAATATCCACCTAAGTGATATAACTGTAAGTATGATTTGTGAGATTTTTGCATCCTGAGCCACATGGCACACCCTTTATGAAAACTATTCAGGCAGAAGCAGCACAGCAAGCAGCAAAGCATTGCTTCACTTGAAAATGGTGTTCTTTTTACAAGCATGGTACACCTTCCTTATATCAGATACCTTAGCTTTTTCTTAGAAGTTTGTTATTTCAACTATTGAATCTGAAGTAAAAACAAGAACTAAAATGCCTTGGGTTCCAATAACAGTTATCATCCATTCACTGCATTTAAACAAAGGAAGGTCTTGAGCTCCTTCACATACCCAGGGGGTTGAGAGTCCTCATCTGCTGGTGGGCTGGAGGCTGTGCTGGTTGCTGGCCAGGAACCTGAGGCTGCAGCTGCGTCTGAGGCTGGTTCATGTAGGGGAGTCCAAGAGCAGCATAGGCCCGCTGCATGGAGCTGGGGTCTATGGGATTTGGGTTACTTAAAGAAGTGGCATTTTGTTGCCCTGTGCCAACAGAACCAATTGTGTTTTGAATTCCACTAGCTGGAGACCCCAGGATGGCTAGAACAACAAACAGACAGGCAAAAAAGGTAAATAAAAGGGAGAAGCCCACATGGTATTTAAAAACTAATGAGAAGCAAATAAAATCTTACCAAAAGACTATACATACATGTCATAAAGTGTTAAAACAAGGCTATTGAAAAAGGAGCTGTGCTGAAAGAAAGAATCCTGCTCTATTCCAGCTATTCTGGCAATAGCTGAAGAATAAAAAGCTAAAGAAAATTTATGCTTCTATCTCAGAAAGCAACAGACCATAAAAATTGCAGAGATAACTTAATAAATATTAGCAGGAGGGAGTGCAGCTCAGTAGTAGAGCTCTTGTGTAAAATGCACAAGACCCTAGGTTCAATTCCCAGCACTGCCCACCCCCACAAAAAGTATTAAAATCTAGTAACTCCTAATACGAAGATTGTGTGACAGGCAAAATTCCATAGGGACTGGCAGCCATCACCGAGACAACAAAGGAGTCTTCTTGTTGCCCCCACCCAACATCCCTCATTGCTCCCATGCACTGGTACAGAGAGATTAGCAGAGGTAACACCTGGTACTTCCCAAATAACAAAATTACAATTTCTCTAAACTTACTCATACAATGACAAAACTAACAATAAGCCTTTCCTGTGGAATTGTGCAGAGAGCACAATGCTGGGCTCTCTACCTATTTGAAACTATTCAAGAACTACTGCTCCCCCCAAAACAACCCAATCAATAAAGGGGCTAAGGAGCTGAACAGACACTTCTCAGAAGAAATGCATTCAATCAACAAATATATGAAAATAGGTCCAACAACTCTAGTAATTAGAGAAATGCAGATCAAAACAACTCTAAGATTTCATCTCTTGCCATTCAGAATGGCAGTTATCAAGAATACAGACAACAATAAATGTTGGCGAGGGTATGGTGGGAAAGGCACACTCATACATTGCTGGTGGGACCACAAATTGGTGCAACCAAACTGGAAAGCAGTATAGAGATTCCTCAGAAAATTTGGAATGGAACTAACTACCATTCGACCTAGTTATCCCACTTCCTGGTCTACACCCAAAGGACTCATCATACTATAGTAACACAGTCACATCAATGTTTATAGCAAGTCAATTCACAATAGCTAAACTGTGGAAGCAATCCAGAAACCCTTCAATAGAAGAATGGATAAAGAAACTGTAGAATATTACTCAGCATTAAAAGAGAATAAAATTATGGCATTTGCAGGTAAATGGGTAGAATTGGAGAATATCATGCTAAGCAAAGTAAGCCCCCAAAGGCTGAATGTTTTCTCTGATAAGTGGATGCTGATCCATAATGGAGGGGGGGCATGGGAAAAATGGAGAAACTTTGATGGGGCCAAGGGGAGGGAGAGGTGGGAAGGGGGAATGGAAAGGGGAAATAGGGGCAGGAAAGATGGTATAATGAGATGGACATCATTCCCTAATGATGTAAGACTGCACATATGGTGCGATGCTACATCATATACAACCAGAGAAATGAAAAGTTGTGCTGCAATTGTGTACAATGAATCAAAATACATTCTTGTGTTATATACATCTAATTAAAATAATTAAATAAATTAATAATAATAATAAAAAGAACTATTGCCCTTGACAGACTTAACTGATGTGGCTGAAATTAAGGAATGGAATGAGCCCTAAAGATTCTGTTCTGGTTTTCATTTATCCAGGTACCACCTCAGTACCCCCCGATTTTCAGGACCTGGATCTGTCTCACCACCAGTCCCACGAGTGCCAGGTAGATCAGTTGCCCCACTTAGTGGATTAACCCCAAGGGACTAAAGGAAAAGTAAATGTCAAAATAGGGAACTCTGGTGGCCAGAGTTGTGGCTCAGCGATAGAACGCTTGCCTAGCATGTGCGAGGCCCTGGGTTGGATCCTTGGCACCACATAAAAGTAAATAAAATAAAGGTATTGTGTCCAACTACAACTAAAAAATAAATATTAAAAAAACAACAACAAGGAACTCCACTCTAAAAGGCTTTCAAATTAACTGAGAGACGACCATAAACTTTGATTTCCTTGGTCACTGGAGGTTCAATTCCATCTATCCATCCACCCATCTATCCATCTGTCCATCCCAATGTCCTCATTTGGTGAGTATTTACCACATGACAGAAGTTTTATGTCATACTATTTACTGTTACTCTTTATTTTTTACTTTTGGAGGTACTAGGGATCAAACCCAGGGCCTTATGTAGGCTAAGCAAGCAATCTACCACTGAGCTACAGTCCTATTTGTTGTAACTCTGGAACTTCAAAGCCATGTTAAAAATAACAGCTTAGCCTGGTGAGATGGCACATACCCATAATCCAGTGACTGGGGAACACCAGTTCAAGGCCAGTGATGGCAACTTAGCCAAGACCCTGCCTCAAAATAAAAAATAGAAAGGGTTGGGATGTAGCTCAGTTGTAGAGCGTTCCTGGATTCAATTCCCCAGTCACACCCTGCCCACCCCACCCCCCCCACAGCAGCTTACAAAATTAATACAACTACATAATTTTTTGACATCGTAAAACACTATCACAAAATCTTTCTTTCAAATTCAAACCACTAATGTATAAGCACTATTCTATTCTGTCATTCAACTACCAGTGCAAGTATAAACACTTATCAGAGCAACTTAATTAAATCAAAACGTGTGTTAAAAAATAAAAAAATAAAATCTAGGTAATTACCCATTCCATACTATTAACTTTTCTAATAAGGATAGTCAGATCTCAAATTCATTAATGTTCATTAGACACAATTATACACACCAAGCACCTTATTATTATAAAGGAGAATCAATTCCCAAGATGCACCTTGCCAAGTGTGTAGGTGAAACAGTCATATACCTTTAGAAGTATTTTGTCCAACAGCTAGTACTCCTGGAAACTAGGACGTGTCCATCATGCTTCTGAAACTGATGTGCTAATTTTTTAGGAGGGTGGTGGTGGGGTATTAAAGATTAATCTGGGGACCCACTATATGCTGAGCTAGATCCCCAGTTGTATTTTATTTATTTATTTGATTTTTTGGAGACAGGATCTCACTAAATTGCCCAGACTAACCATTATCTGTGATGATGCTCCTATCTCAAGCTTTCTGAGTAGCTGAGATTACAGGTGTATACCTCTGCACCTAGCTCTTGCTGAACCTTAAAAAGAACTATGATATAAAAAAAGAAAGTAATAATGGTTGGCTGGTTTACTCTGGAGGCAGGAGGGTTCTGGGGATAGAACCTAGGGCCTCATGCATGCTAAGCCCACTTCCATGCCCCAACCCAGAGTAATTCACTATCACCTTATGGTGTAACAGAACAGATGCAGTCTGCATTCATATACAGAGTGGTGAATTGTGGCCAGGAATGTGAAGAAACAAAGTTATCTATGTAGCCTTCTACTTCTGGGTGATGATACCATAGCTCTGCTTAAAGGGATTCCCTCCTACTATATTCCTCTTTCATTCACACTTTCCCAAATGACATCCATTTAGCTAAAATGCTCAACTAAGGGTGAAACACCATTCTTAAGCCTAAGGCCACCTGCCAGGCCATCAGTGACTCATTTACAAAAGGCCACCCCAGGGAAGCTGCTGATATGGTCACTGTATTTTGTGTTTGTATTATAAGCATTTATTTCCTAAATGTCAATGTTACCGTATTTTTTGAAAGAAAATATATCTATCAGAAGACAGGCACACGGTTGGAACTTAACATTTCTAACAATTCAGAGCAAGGAAAATAAATTACACAGGCCTCTGGGGCTGGGGTTGTGGCTCAGTGGTAGAGGGCTTGCCTAGCATGCATGAGGCACTGAGTTCAATCCCTGGCACCACATAAAAATAAACAAAATAAAGGTATTGTGTCCACCTACAACTAAAAATATATTAAAAAAAGAAAAGAAATTATAAAAGACTCTGACATTATGGCCCCAACATGTGACCCAAATGATGCTACTGGATAAAAAGGCACACACAACTTTAGGGTAAGGAACATGGGGCTTCCTGTGGGGTGATGATGGCTGATTGTCAGGGGAGTCATGTAAAACAACATCAACTGTTTTGCAACTCAGGATGCCACCAGAATCTGAGAACGTTCTCCTAAGCCTTCTCTAAATTCCTATGGGGCCCACTAGGCCTCTGCTTAAGGCACTTATGTGTGTTCAAGCACTCACTCAAGCACAAAACAGACTCAGGAGCATATTCTACCAGGCTCCCAAGTACAGGTTAAGCACCAAGTCTCTGCACTGTCTGAGCTTAGAATCTGCTGGGAGATAAACAGCAGAGTAATCCAATCACCACGCAACTCAAGTCAAACTGAAGCTTATAACAATACTTGAGTCAAAAAAACAAACAAACAAACAAAAAAAAACCATGTTCATATCATCGTCCCTGGACATCCCTGAAAGGTGGGAACCCATGTGAGACTCAAACTTATTCTTCACCTGCCACATGGAACCCTATGAAATGCCAGTAGACTCCAGGGAATTGGCAGCCCATATAATGCAGTGAGTAGCCATACCCATGCTGTCCTGCACGCAGCACGCTGGGACTGAATAAGAATGGATGGAGTGCTACAGAGATCAATGCATCTATCTGTATCCCCAAGAATGAGGTGTTCTATAGTCATCAATTTTTCATATTTGGAAAATCTTGGTCTTTTTGTCATTTTTACATCTTTTTTTTTTTTTTTCCTTTCTAGAGCTTAATGTCAAATCACAAGCCACGGTGTCCCAAAATTTCTCTGTGTGCTGAGGATACCCTTTTGTGCATGAAGGCTGATCAGTGTCAGCCTGTAGCCCCGCTCAGGAGGAGGGTCGGATACAGGAGAGAAAGTCAGGTGGGCTGCATTTGAACTCCATTCCAGGGCACTCTCAGGATCTAAGTGCTAGTTCACCTCTCCCTGAGCCACTCAGAGAAAGTCAGATAGAAAAGCAGCACATGTTCCCCAAGCAGCAGGAGCCCAAGGAAGATGACGGAGAAGACTTAAGAATGAATATTTGGGGTTCTCCCTGGCATATCTTATAGTGTACCTGAATTCACACACTGTATTTGCTTCCTTAAAGAGACCTCCAACATCCTACATCACCACACTCCTTCTGTTGTAGCTAAAGTAGAGACCCAATGGCTTATGAAACAAAAGGCCAAATTTACCATCATTCTTCATGTCAGGATAAGGCAGTCTTTTCCCATTGAGCACACTAAGAGGTTCCCTAAGTAGCACACAAAGCTTACTAGAAACATTCAGCAAACTAGTCCCTGATCGTTTTTAATAAAACTGAACTTGATGTAGAAATTCAGTGAAAATTACCACAAATTAAATTTCAAAGCTTTGTCAGGATGATGGAAGAAGATATGTCACTAAGCAGACAAGGAAACTACTCTATTTGTCTCTTAGATTTCTATAGGAAAAGTGGTGCTAGAATTTATTCAGACTTACAGATCTCTGCCAAATTTGCAGGAATCACCACAATGCCTTTGTGAGTCCTATGTAGGTCAGCACTTACCTGTGACACAGCTTCTCTCTGTGCATAAGACAGAACACCAGAACCAAGAACAATGCTCAAGTGTTCAGGTACCACCCAATTGTTCAGACCTGTCCTCACCACTGACACTATATCATATCTCAACAGAAGCCAAGAGACGCAGAAGAAATGATTCCACATAACCCAAAAGGCCAAGAAGCAGTCATTCTGATGAAATCTTTCACCAGAATCTGATGCTGAAGCCAGGGACAGCAAAACCACTGCTCTTGCTATAGTCATACAGTACCAATTTCTGGTACCTCCATCTCCACCACAGTCTGTTAAACAGGTGTCTAGAGACTACGAAGGGCTCAAGTGAAGCAAGGGGCCTGGCCAGCACCCAAGTAAGGCACTGGATGAGGGCAAGTTTTGAGGAGGAAGATTTTTGACTCAATGTTAGCAAAGGAAGGCATCTCAAACAATCAGAGGCACAAAAACAAACAAACAAACAAACAAAAAAAAAAACAAATAACCAGGCCAAGGCAATGGGAGGCACTGGAGCAACAGGCTGGAGGACTACTTAGGTCTAGGGCTGGGATTAACCTTTGAAGCTCTCACGTAATATTCCTTGTGGGATTCAGAGTTGGGAAACCAGGTTTCGTTTAGAGAAATGCCTTTTACTTTCTCTACAGCTTCAGTATGCAGGCATCCTGAGTAGAACATCTCAGGTTTTTGTTTTTGTTTTTTTTTTTTTGTTTTTTGTTTTTTGTTAGTTTTCGCTGGACACAACATCTTTGTTGGTACGTGGTGCTGAGGATCAAACCCGGGCCGCACGGATGCTAGGTGAGCGTGCTACCGCTTGAGCCACATCCCCAGCCCCTCAGTTTTTTTTTTTTTAACATTTAAGTTTTTAGTGGACACAATACCTTTATTTTTATTATTATTTTTTTAATGTGGTGCTGAGGATTGAATGCATGTGAGACATGCACTCTTTCTCTGAGCCACAATCCCAGCCCAACATCTCAGGTTTTTTTTTTTTTTTTAATGTTGAGGGGGGAGGGGGAGGGGAGAAGAAGGGAAAAGAGAAAAGGAAAGGAGATTCTAATATAGGAGGTCTGGGATAGGGCCCAAATCTCACCCAGGAGGTCACATGGATCCTAGCAAAGGAACTGAGGCACACGTCCACTCAGAATTTTACTAAAGGTCAGATGCCAGGGTTGACAGTAGAAAAAGACCTAATTATTGAATAAAAGTTGAATATCTCTATAATAGATATATAACTCAAGATCAGAGATTACAGAATTTCTAAAAAAAAAAATTCAAAGAAAAAAAAATCAAACAGAATCTCAGCAAAAAACATTCTCTGGGTAGAGACACCAATTACATTATAGAAGTTAAGAGTGGAGTGTGTGCCAACCACAGAGGTGTGTGTTAGGTAAGCTCAGCATCTGTGGGAGACACTGCCCAGAAGGCAGAGCCCCAGGTTTGCCTGGTCACAATTCTACAGAACAGGTTCTAAGGGGCCTCAGTAGAGCCTGGTCTTCAGCAGCTCACCATAGCCCACAAGATTCCAACCAACCCATCCTCACAGGCTTCCACAGTGCCAGCACTGTTCCTGCCATCCAGACTGTGCTTCCATTGATACTTTGTTTAAGCCAGTCTAAGCACACACCAAATCTCACCCCATCCATGGACCACCAAGAACCTGGCTTGCTATCACTTGAATCCTGAGTGAGAACACCATGATATGATGATAGTGGTGGTGGTGATGATCAAGATGTGTGTGGCACTCGGGATTGAACTTATAGGTGCTCTACCACTGAGCTGTTTTTTGTTTTGTTTTGTTTTTAGAACTTTTAACTTTTATTTTTTAGTTTTCGGCAGACACAACATCTTTGTTTGTATGTGGTGCTAAGGATCGAACCTGGGCCGCACGCGTGCCAGGCAAGCGCGCTACCACTTGAGCCACACCCCCAGCCCCTTGTTTTGTTTTAATTAGCTTTAATTTTGAGACAGTGTCTCCAAGTTGCCAAGCCTGGCCTTGAAATTGCCATCCTCCTGCCTCAGCATCCTAAGCTGCTAGGATCAAAGGCATGCACTTCTGTGTTCTGTGCCTGGCCATCATGTTCTTTTTTTATTTTTATTTTTTTTCTTATTTTTTAGTTGTTGATGAACATTTTTATTTATTCATTCATATATATGGTGCTGAGGATCAAACCCAGTGCCTCACACATGCTAGGCAAGCACTCTACCACTGAACTACAACCCCAGCCCCTAATTTCACCCTCCTGGTAGCTTTTTTACCACTAAGCCCCAGCCCCAGCTGCAGTCCCAGCCCCATCATGTTCTTTTTTTTATGCATATGTTCTGTCTCTAAAATCCAATCTTAACCTACTGAAGGATCAGATTCTCATTTCTCTCTCTCAGTTCCTACAGCAGGTTCACACACTATGAGTTCAATTTGCTTTAGAAGACAAAAATAATAACAAAAATCTACAAAAATCAATATTGCTAAAAGCTTTCCTACTTTATAAGCAACTCTACTCATAAAACTATAGTGCTAGAGCCAGCTGAAACCTAATTTAAGAAGCATTTAGAATTTTAAAAGTATTAGAATTCTCTTTTTTTCCATAGTAAACTACCAACACCTTTCGTGGAGCTCATCTGAACCTTCCCTTAGACTCTGCAGTAGGAAATGACCCTGGCAACACCTCCCAGTATGACTAGTAGGAAGACTGCGGCTTACCACTTGAGAGAGCATGTATCAAGTCAGCTTTCACAACATTTAAGCCGTTGTAAGGATGCTAAGAAAAATAAACCACATACACTTCTTTTCTTTATTTGAAACAAAAACCACATAAGTAGTTCTTAAAAAGAGAAATCATAAAAGTTTACAATTGTTATGGCAGTACATACTACATACACCTATAAATTAAACAACTATAATTTCAACAATGAGTATTTGGACACTTAAAAAAGCCTTATACTGAAATGTGTCTTAAAGTACAAGATATTTAAACAATATACTTTAAAAAATAAAGTTTTATAATAACTTAGAGGAAAAACAGACTATATTCCACAAGACATATTATTCTAAATATAGGAAGATCTATGATCTCAGAACTTTACTTTATGTAAGAAATGTCTAGGGCAATTAATTGTGCATTAAAAATTCAAATTTTGTTCAATCAAAGAAAAATTTAACGGATTCAGGAAACTTTCAAAAGAAATTTATTGTGACTCCTCTGTTGGGAGGAAGGATAACAGGCCCCAGCAACCTGGAAATTTCTCTGTGTGCTGAGGATGCCCTGTTGTGCATGAAGGTTGTTCAGTGTCAGCCTGTAGCCCCCTCAGGAGGGTGGGATGCATGAGAGGAAGCCAGGTGGGCTGCACTTGAACTCCATTCCAGGGCACTCTCAGGATCCAAGCGCTAGTTCACCTTTCCCTGAGCCACTCAGAAAAAGTCAGAAAGAAAAGCAGCACATGTTCCCCAAGCAGCAGGGGCCCAAGGAAGATGACAGAGAAGCATTAAGAACCATTCTCGGAACAAAATCAGGGAGGAAGAAAGACGGCACAGATGAGAGAGAGTAAGATGAAGACTGCCACGCTGAAAGATTACTGAGTGGGGGCCTGAGGAGCACTTCCTAGCTATCTGTAAGACAAAGACCACAGTTTCACCTCTGAAATGACAGGGCAAGGCCTTAGAAATGGGAAGAGATATTCATCCTTCTTACGGTTCTGAAGCCTACAAACAGCAGGGACCCTGGAGACCACATGCAGGCCTCCTGATGAACAGATATAAGCATAAAACTAACTGTACCAATGGTTACATAGACAGTTTCAAAGATGACAAACAATGGGAATGATTAAGATGTACCAGTCCTGGGCTAGTGGAAGCTGAATAAATTGTTAGTTATACAAGTAGGTCTGGGAATTCCATTTCTATGTAGAAGAAAAGGTTCACAAATGCCTGCAGGTGGGATTATACCGACCCATCCCGGGTGACAGGGCCTTCAGACAAACTTTTTAGAAGGGGGTTCAATTCCAAAAGCAGTGCCCTATTTATACGCCCACTGATGTAACCACCATTAAAAGGGACATGGCAGTGAATTCTTAATATTTGGTGATACTCAGTGAAATCACTTAATATCTGGTAGAAAATACCATGTCTTCAAGTCAGCTCTTTGATCAAAGTGACCTTGCTGTTTTGCGCTCCATCAAGTACATGTACGCAGGGCAGGGAGCAGTGAAGATGAACGAAAGTCCAACGGCCATTGCCATTCATGTTTACTGGCAGCCCATCTACCCTCTGAGCCTGGCTGCACCTGGGTCTCTGTCCACCCTGCCTCACCCCTGTGCTCTGTGGCTGGAAACCCCTGCCCACTCCCTACCTACTCTAGGCACTCTCTAGAAACAGCTTCTAATCTCATCTCCGAGCTTCTCTGCCCCCGTGCTCACTTACTTTGTTGGTTTCGCTTGTCACTGGCATTTTTCAAAGGGAGGCAAACAGGACAGTCATGTCGTGTGCAGTTCTTCCAATGAGAGATGATTTGTCGTGAAGATGCACAATGGGCAACTATGACCAGAAAAACAACGAGATGTTATTTTTCTATCCAAATCGTCACACTTTCAATTACACCTAAATTATAATGCCAGATTCCATAAGAAAATGGTAACAAGTGTAACCATAACACAATATAGGCAGTCCTCAACTTACAAACAGGCTATTTTCCAAAAAGTTTGTAAGTTGACTATTGAAAATTCCAAACAAAAACTTCCCACGGAAGCAATGTTATGAATGATGGGTGATTAAAGTTCAGCCCACAAAACAAAAGCTATTCAACCTAAAATACTTAACAACTGCAATGAAAAGTAGAACAAACGTAGTTCTGTAATGCCACTATTTAAAATAAAAATATTAATTATGTTTAAAGATGAAACCACCTAAATACAACAGCTGAAGACTTACAGCTGGAGAAGCAAATGAGAAGACTGTGGAGATTCCAGAAGGGAGCTTAGGTGCTTTGGAAAGTACTTGAGAGGGCACTTGACCCTGGTGATTTTCAGTCTTCATCTTCTAGCATCTAACCTTACCCTTTTTTCTGTGCTTCTATCATAATCAGGGTTACTCTGGGAACTCACAAATGTGAACATAGATAGAGAGGGAGACCAGGGAGATATTTTCCCCAGGGTTTATGAGCACAAGAAAGAAGAGAAGCAAAGAGAATAAAGATACTAGGAAAGTACAGCTGGTAACAGAAATATCTGGTAAAAGAGGGGAAAGGGGGCACATGATGTGCCTGATTCACTACCTCCCTAGGAATGACAAGGTGCAGTCCCTGTGTGACTGCCAGTCACTCAGGACAACCTGGTTGTCACTGAAGTAGCCTCAAGACCTAGGGCAGAGGAGCAAGGCAGTGGGCCACTGCTGGCCTGAGTCTTTGAAACAACCACAAGATAGACGTCAGGGTATGGGAAGGGTGCGTGCCCGACTGTGTATGTGCTGTGCTTGTTGCCCCAAACCGAATAGTCTAGACATTTACATCACAGATTACTCAAGAAGTGACAAAAGTCTTCCATGAAAAGGAGGAGGAAAAGAGCAAACTCGGGCATAGCCTCAAGCAGGAGAAGGTTGCAGAGAAACAGAAAACCAGGCTGCCTTTCTCCTCAGCAGGTAGGCCTTGCAAGGGGCAGCTGAGAGCACACATCCTAGGCTACACCAAGGAGGGGACCTTGGCCACAGGAGTCTTCTGACCTCAAGAGTGCTGAACAATAACAATGCCACATTCCACCCTGGTCACTGCCACCAGTTCAGAAAAGGGCACTTACCTTGGCAGGCCTTCCCAGCCTGACAATGAGTCATGTGATTCAAAACGTTTTTCATGGTTCGACAATGTGGGAGAGAGCAGGCCCGAACCTCTCCGTTGGCTTGTTCTCGTCGCTGACATTTATGAGCATGAAGCAGTAGAACCAGCTGCTGCTGTATCAGTTTGCGTTTTTCAGGGTCTGCTGTGGGGCCTGTTGCAATTGCTTGTGTGGGTACAATTCCCACTGATGTCTGCATTTGAGACTAAAACAAAACAAAATAACAAAAAGTATTTTATTAAGCTTTTTAGAGTTTTAATTCATACTCATTATTTCACCCAAATGTGAAAGTTGTCAAATAAAACCAACTACAGAGAGGAGGTTGGTGTGTTTCTCTTATCCATCAGTGACTTTAAGAAGATCCAGAAGCCAAGAACTCTATCCAACTCAGACGTAAGGCTGATTCAAGTTCCATCATTCAAACAAAAAAATGACACTAGGAACGGTAGCAACCAAAACCCAACTCACTCTACATCACATACAACTACTGGAAAAGCTGCGTATTAAAGCAGGCTAAATTCACAAGAAAATTCTGCTTTTGTAGGTCACAGGCTCCACCAAATTAAGAAGTTTGCCAAGGCAGGATGAACTACAACATACTACAATATCTGAAGTCACAAAGAGAATCACCATCACCTTCTGTTTTTTGGATTTCATTTGCAGTTTGACAGTGGTCCCTGCCTTACAGCACCTATCCTTAATACAACCATCCTGTATGAATCTTGATGCTTTTTAAAGAAATGCTTTAAAAAAAATTATTTTTTAGGTATAGATGGACACAACACAATGCCTTTGTTTTTACGTGGTGCTGAGGATCGAACCCAGCTCCCACCCGCGCTAGGCGAGTGCTCTACCGCTGAGCCACAATCCCAGCCCCAAAGAAATACTTTTGACTTTCAAAAAATTGCCATTCTGACATTTGGAATCTTTTTCAAAAAATATTTGATGATCTGCTAAAAATACAGAGTTTGCTTGTCTTTATCTTTCTGAAACAACAAGCCAGACCAAACATACCTCTTTACTGCAAAGAAAATGGAAAAAATGACCTGTAGAGTCTTATTCTTTACCAACTACCAACATTCTTCAGACAAACTTACTGCAAAGACCAAGTAAGAGAAATATAATTCTCCTACTATGTAGTGATAGCATCCACAGTTCAGAGGTTCTGGATATTCTCTAATATCTTGATACACCTACCCTGAATCCATGGCACCTACTATCTTCCCTAAATCACAATACCAGTATGATGTTTTTATATAAGAATCAAAAATATACAATTATGAGAAAGAAACTAAAAATGTTTCTTAATCAAGACTCATTTGCTAAAAGTTGTGATTTTCTATCTGGGTTTTATCCTCATGAGAATTCAGAAAATAAGTGTGCAGGAAAGCCATGTGGTTTTGCTAAAGAGCAAAACCCCTAGAAGCCCAAGAACAACCCAAAGCAACAGCAAAATTCTGGCTATGGCAGAAGACCCTGAATGCAGAAGCACAGGAATTCTAGGAGAAAATAGCCTCTATTTCTTCTGTTTATCTTTTCCTGGTTAGGTATAAAGGCAATAAACATATACTGCAGATTTCATGCTCAGGATATAAAGTGCCTCCCCAAATATTTGTGCTGAAGGCTTGTCCCCAATGCAGCAATGGGGGTGTGTGTGTTAGGAAATGACTGGATCATGAGGGCTCTAGCCTCATCAGTGAATTAATAATTTGAATGAACTACTGGGAGATGGTAAGAACTAACAGGTGGGCCACCTCTGGAGGAAGTCCTGGCCCTGTCCTCACTCCCTCCTCATTGTCCCTGGCTGATATAAGCAGTTTTCCTCCAACATGCCTTTCCTTGCCATGTGTTCTGCCTCACTTCATACCCAAAGCAATGGAGTATTAATAAAAAGTATTAATAGGTTTTTGTTTCTTCTAATCTTTTTCTATATGTAGATGCACACATATGAACCATAATTAATACTTTCATATCTGACATGTAGATATGTCTGGTAAACACAAACACGCATATGTCTTGTTTCTCCAGGTCCTACCCTATACCACTGTGTTGTCTCATAGGTGTTGGTATGACCTGTAATGAAAGCACAGCATCTTATGATATAACCATATGTTTATTTAACTAGCTTCCCACTGTGTCATATAAGCTGGAAGCCCTTTCCTCTCCAAGGGTTTTTGCAATTTTAAATAGACAGTCTATAAGCAAAGTCTGTGACTGCACCCCTGTGAGCATTCAGTGTCAGTGCTCAAAGTCCAACCACAAGTCACTGGGAATGGAGATGTGAACAAAAGTGAGAAATGTATGGCCCTTGTTCAGGTATCTTTCTTTTGCATTTATAAAATTTCAAACACGCAGAAAAGTAGAAAGGACACCATTATCGGTGAACAAGTAACTGTTCTTCCCTATCAGCTAATATCCAGTCATATTCCTTTACCTGCCCACAAGATGTCCTCTACATCTGGTTTGCACAAACCAAGACTTAAGGCCCACACCCTATATCTGCTCATCATCTTTAAGGTTCTTCATCTATTGATTTCTCCCTTCTGTACTCTTGACAACCAGCTGGCACAAGAGATCACCCAACCATCTTTCTACCGCTGCTTAAACTACAGAAAAACTACACAATAGGAAAACATAAAACTTATGTACAAATTCTAGTAATTTGTAAATTATAAGCAGATTTTGTTAAATTACCAAAAATGATCTTAGGGCCTTTCATTTGGGATGTTTTTAATAGCATCTTTTACACCATACTTGACCATATGTCAACACAGTTGGAAACCATATGACAAATTAAAAACCTGCTCTACTATTTGCCTACCTGTGGATGGAGGACATGACTCACACGACAGGCATCTTTAAAACAACCTGGAGGGTGGAGCTGAGCCAACAACAAAATGAAACAGAATACTTGTCTTGTGTCCTGGGTCTTGCTTTCCCCATGTAACTTGCTATGTCCAGTGCTCCAGTATTTGCCAAGTATTCACAAATATAAGGGGTACATTTACTGCTCACCTCTCCCAGGCTAGTGTTCAATGAGCTAAAAGTGCTATGGTGAACTGCAGGTGGCCTGCAAAAGCACACTTCAGACTCTCCCAAAGTCCCAACTGCCCAGGTAGGCACCAAGAACAGAGGGAAAGTGCTTGGACAAAGAACTTCCCTTTAAAAGACTGGAAAAAACTTAAGTGTTGTAAGCTCCCCAAAAGCCATCAACATTTATACAATTTTATTTTGGCAATAGTCAAGAAAAAATTTTAAAACAGTGAGAATAAAGAGGACTCTATATTGTTAGAGTCTGAAACACACTCTAGAGTTCTTTAAGTAAATCCAGAAACAGACACGTGTGCACATGAAACCAGCATCTGATAAAGATGGTGCTCCAACCTGGGGAATGGCAGGCATCTCTGACTGCTATTTACCTGAAATATAAAAATAAACTCCAGATGGAATAAAGTACGTAAAACATACTAAAATGCATAAAAGGAGTATCTTTAGAATATGAGGATAAAAAACTTCTTAACACAGGCATACAAGAATAAAGATTAAAAAGGGGAAAAAAATGAGAAAAATTTTGTTGTTATTCTCATACACAAACAGCCTTTAAGAGATTAAAAAAATCAAACTATCCTACTAGAAAGCTGGGCAAAAAAGATGCACAAATACTTCATAAAATATAAAGAAACAACAAGCACAAAAAAATCTCCTCCTTGCTGCTGAGACAATACAGAGGAAGAACAGTCTTTTCAATTGGTGGAGTAAAAAGGATGACAACAGGGGCTGTAGTGCAGCTCAGCACCCCATGCAAGAGGCCCTGGGTCCTACTCCCAGCACCCCCACACACAAAGAAAAGAAAGGAAAAGGAGCCCACTGCAGTGGTGCATGCCCGTAACCCCAGAAGCTCCGGAGGCTGAGACAGGAGGATCACAAGTTCAAAGCCAGCCTAAAGCAAGGCACTAAGGAACTCAGTGAGACCCTGTCTCTAAATAAAATACAAAACAGGGCTGGGGATGTGACTCATTCACTGGTCAAGTGAGCTGCCACTTCATGCTCACCAGGATGGCTATAATAAAAGAGACAGATATTTAACAACAATAGCGACTATAGGAGAGAATGTGGAGAAGGTTAAATACTCATGCACTGCAGGTGGGAATACACAACTGTGTACAGAACTACCATATGATCTCATAATTCCACTCAAAGAGAATTAAGAAGACATGTTTGCACTTTAATTTGTTGAAAGGAAAAAAAAGAACATTTATAGCATCATTATTTATAAGTCAAAAAATGCAAACCAGTAAAATGCTCATCAACTGTTGAAAAGATAAAATATGGTATAACTAAAATGGAATATTATTCAACCATCAAAAGCAAATACTGACAAACGACACAACATGAATTTTAAAAACAGTATTTTCATGAAAAGAAGTCACAAAAGACCATTTGTTGTTATGATTCCATTTCTATTAAATAATAGGGGCAGAAAGTAGGTTTGTGGTTGGCTAGAGCTGGGGTTCAAGAGAACCAGGGAGTGACTGCAAGTAGTGCAGAGGCTCATTCTAGGGTGATGAAAACTGCTATACAAGTGACTGTGAAAATGACTACACAATGCCATTTGAGCACTTTAAAAGAAGGAATTGTATGATACATGATCTACATCTCAATGAAACTGCTGTGAAAAGTTTTACTTCACTAGTTATCAAAGAAGTGAAATAAAATGCTGAGCTATTTTCCACCCATCAGTATGGCCATAATCCCCCACCCACACACACACACAAAGAAAACAATCAGTGGCGTAGTTAATGAGGGTACAGAGAAATGGTCATCTCAAGTACTGGTGAAACTACAACTGGTATGCCTTTGGGAAAGAATGTATCACAAGGAAAAATGTGCATTTCTTTTGATCCAGTAGTTCTACTTCTTATAATAGATGATTAGAGAAGTAACTATATCAGGGTATGCTAAAATGTCTATGCAAAAATGAATATCACACCCTGACTAAATACTGAAAAACTGGAAAAACTTAACGTCTATCAAATTAAACAGATCTATAGTAAGGATCCACAGTGAAATAATATGCAACCATAAAGAGTAAGGCAGAACTCAAATGACCCCGGTTTTATAAAGTCATGTAGGTGGAAGAATGGCATGCCTAAACTCCTGGCAAACAAAACAAAAACAACAAAACGGGTGGTAATACAAAACAGC